TTGTTATGAACATTTTGATAGGCCTATATTACAAACATTTTGCTTATAAATTATCTCGTCAACAGTTTTTATTAGGTAGGTACATAAACCTATTGCGGCTATGAGACTCAGGGCTAGAGATATACATGTGTATATCTCTAGCCCTGTATGAGACTATACGATCACTAACTTATTCCGTAAAGGAAGTAAAAGCCATAACTTACTTTTAAAAACCTTCCTTGTTTTTTAAGGAGGAAAGTAGTTCTCATTAGAGGAGAATCCCCAGAATACTTAGAAGTAATACAATATAAATTAGATGCTAATGCCGTGCTAAACGAAACAATTGTCATGAACATATTTCGTTAAGTCTTTCGTTTTGGTTCTCTTTGAGGGAATAAGATAGGAATTATGCACATTATTGCACATGCAGCTCTGCTGAAACAAAACAATCGTCATGAACATCTCGGTACGGTAAGAAATTCTCGGTTCTCATTCTTGTTAAGAATAAGTTATCTCATTAAAAACCTTTCGCTAAGAACCTCTTGCTAAGCGAAATACAAAAAAACGTTTCGATTGTAATATCTCGCAGTCACGCATCACTAGGCCTACTTCTCTGTGGTTTGTGTTGAGAATTGAAATAAATTATGGTTCTAGAACTATCTAACAGGTTAGTTGGACATTTGTGTTTAGATTTGGTCAGTATTTAATCTCAAGTAGGCCTGTAGCCTAAATTATAAATTCTTGTTAAATTAATTATAAAAAACAGGTTTTAACCACAATTATTGTGGATTATTTACTGGGTACTCAATACTGTGGCAACGTAGTTCCGAGGCAATGATTTAATTTTCGGCTTAGCTCTAGACTATGACTACACAAAAAAACCTCAGGCAACTTTCGAGTCAAAACTTATTCGCGCGAAACTCTCGCCCATTGGTGCGATCGCCTTAAATGCTAATTTACTTTCGTCAACTACACGTGATTGTCTCTCACGGTAAAATAACTCCGGCCGACTAGGCCTAAATGCGTTGTTTGTTTTGGCAAAAATGCTACCGGCGTGGCGATTTCGCGTGATTGTCTTTAACGTTTAACCTCAACATTATTCCCTACTCCGCCAATAAATTCAGTGATGATATTTTTAAGAGCTCAAAAACTCGAAAAAGAGGTCCCGGGACGCCATTCCGCCCCAAATCGAGCATTTTCTGCAGTTATAAACCGACAGTACACACATTGTATTCTAATAACTGAGCCATAAATTAGGCCTAAGCATGATATTAAAAGTGAGGACAAGCCCGACTAAGCAATGTCTAATCAACCAAAACACACGTGCTTATTATTGTAGTTAAAGTAAGAACTTATGTACGGTAGCATTCAATTTTTAATTAGGTAGGCCTACTAAATACTCTTAAAAACCACCCAAACTAAAATGCTCAATTAGGTATGCAATGATTTACAACTATTAGCTACATTTTATTTCCTGATAGTTAGATTAAATACCTTTTACAAATGAACTCCATCAATACTGTACACAAAAATCTTAAACAAAAAAGTAAATGTTTTACCTAAATTTTTGCTTATTTTAACAACTTTTATGTTAACTAACGTCTGTTGTCGTTATTTAACACAGGGCATGTGAGTACGGTAGGCTTAAGTTATATTTACTTTACTAAATTCATAGTAATTAAAAGTACAGTAGAACCTCTTTAATTAATCCGAACTAAATGGGACGGGGGGTAGTTCGGACTATTGAATAGTTTGGATTACAGAACATATTGTTGTTTTTACATAACAATATAGCTAGAGAAAAGTGAAAAATGCTTTGTAAAGTAAAATACAGTGTTTATTTAATCCAGTAGTAAACATAGGGAAGAAACAGTACTGTACATTACAATTGAAATAATTAGCCTACGGTGCGTATATCAATAAATTAATAAACAATAAAGAACTACTGTACTGTGTATAGAGCACAGCAATGAGGCGTTCAGATTACAGGGGTTCGGATTAAAGAGTTTCTACTGTAAAAAAATGTTGAAACAGAATGCTTTTGGAATTTGACATAAATTTGGCATAAATTCTGATACATTTAAAATGTGAATCATTAAAAAAATATGCCAGCACCACCCATAGCCACTGGACGACAAAATCTCAGCACTGGGCGACATAAAGTGTCGTCCAGTTAACATGTTATTTTATGCCCTGCTACACATCTATTACAACTACCATATACTGGTTTCTTAGTCTACAGTTGTACATCCATTCAAAGCTTGGTTTGTTACATAATACAGTGGAAAAATTTTTTTGTTGAAATGAAAAATTTGAAATTTTTCCTTCTTTCATAGGTCTAAATAAATTCCTGAAGTTGCTCAAGTTAGAAAAACAAATGCACATAAAACCCTGAGCCTACTAAGTGAGCCTGTATTGTTTTACTCTGTAAGTTTATTTCGTTGATTTGTTATAGAAATGCCAAGTAACTTAAGAATGAGAGTTTTTGTGTAGTACCGTATAGGTCATCATAGGACTTGGTTAGGTAATATTTCTGGTACCGGTACCTATTTCTTTACCATTATTCAAGCACCATCAATCTATGTTACGAAGGTAAATTTGTAAGAAAGAGCCGGTTTTAGTTTGCTTGTACACTGCAAATAGGCTCCTCACTTACTGGCATCATTTGTGAAAAGAATGACACCATTTGCAGCTCTGTAGGTGACGTGTCCCACCCTTTGCTGTGTTTTTTTTTTTTTTTTTTTATTCACTTATTGAATTTCCCACCTTGTGCGAGATTAGGTGAGTGATACTTTTACCACAAGAATCATACCCGATGCCGATATTCATTGCCAGAAGACGGAATTTTATGACCCTAATAGCGGAGGAAAGTGCAAAAAATAGGTTAGGGAGTTTAAAAGGTGGGTACCCATACTTCTCATACAGAAGACAATAAGAAAAAGGCTTTCCCAACTCCATAACCTACAATTCCAAAATTTACCCCCCCTTGTATTAGGGTCATAGCTTTTAGTCATCTGGCGATGTATTTGGGCATTAGATTTTATGTTTCTTGAGGTCAAAAACGTATCACTGACCTTTTTCATACTTGGCAGGAGATTTAAGATTTAATAATTTAAAACATTTTTTAAACATCAAAGCATGCACGTTAGCCACAGAGCTGCAAATTTATCAATCTGACTCGCAATAGTAAGTGGCGAAAAACTTCATTGCGGCAGACAAGCAAACTACACTACAGATTAACTTACACCCAAAACGGCCCTTACTTAAATACTGCCCTCGTACTTCAGATAGAAAGTAACTCAGCCACGGTTCTTAATATAACAAGTTCTTAATTTAAGCAGACGGGGTCATTCTATATCAACTCAACCAAGCTGAAACACCCATGATCTCACATTTGCTTAGTGTGAGGGTAAAGATGTTAAAAACTAGAATGTAATAATGTACATTAAATGTTTCAGGGGATCAGTCTGAGAAACAAGTCTGAAGGTCTGTGTTTACCACTGATTTTGGCCAATGGTGAAAGTCAACTCTTCACGGAATTCTTTTAACAAGGAGAATGAACATTATTTGAAAAGCTCGGCAGCTTCTGTCAAACGGCCAAAAAAGTATTTAACCAAGAATTTGAAGGTAAAAGTAACAAATAAAACAGAAGGTCAATTAAAACTAAAAAAAACAAGAAGTATTAGTGTCGGGGTCACAAATCAACAAGAACAGCAAAAATGTGTAAATTTCAAACAGCCTTTAGTCGAAATAAAACAAGCAAATTTGGATAACACATTACAGAACCCACCTGATTCATTCGGTCAAGATGAAATTAGAAATAAATTAATCAGGAAAAAGAAGGTATTACTCAATGAAAGTATCGCAAACGCTTGCCCCGACTCCGTTGAAAATACAAACAGCAAAATAATCACAAATTCTGGTCTTTTCAAAAGACATACTCCAGAAGGACCATTGAAGATTCCAAAACAGATAAAGCTAAACAAATGTGATTTGAAATTAAAGTCTCCATTTTCAAAAGAATCCTTAGATTGTAATAGAAGGAAGGGTTGTTCTAAAAGCAATATTAATCATGTAAATTCTTTATACAGCAATAACAAAAACTTTGCTCTTTTTGAAGGAAAGCTAAGAACATTTCAAAGTTCAAAAATTATTAGTGATAATGACATTGATCGAGAAGCTTATGATATCTTTAGTTTTTCTCCCAAACATACAAATTGTAAAAAGTCTAATCAAATAGACATGGGACCTTCGTTTAATTTTTCTAATTTGCAAGAAGACTTTGCCTCTAATCCTTTGCCTTTGAAAGTCAACCTGCCCCATGGTTTTGTAGACAGGCCTGAATTGTTCATCAAGGAAGCTTGTTTGGATGTAAACAAGTCAACTAAAGAACAAGATAAAACTTTGGCACAGGAAATACACTCACTTAAAATAAAGAGCTTAAGTAAAGCCAGTGAATTACAAATGGGTTGTAATGAGGAATTTCCATTTGTTTCCCCTATTTTAGGAAATAATAGGATTCCTGCAAAGCAGTCAAATGCCGACACTTCTCCAGTGTTAAAGTCAACTATAAATATGTCATACAAAAATCAAAAAGAATGCTCTCAGATATTAAATTCCACAGATTATCATCCTGACTACCATAATCACAAAGAAGTAATTTCTAAAAGAAAATGTGTCCAGATCAATGATGTGGTTGAAGAAAAGTCAACGGTTTCCATAGATGAAAATGAGAAGGATAATTCCTGTGATTACCTTATAAATAGTGGAACTGGTTCACCAGTTTTAAAATCAAGTCAACGAAGAAAAGACATCATCAAGCATAGATTTAATAAAATTCCACCTATAGCACTACAGGATCTTGATTCAGCTTCGGTTGATTTTTCTCCCTCTCCGGTTTTAGATGCAAAACTGTTTATAGAATCTTCCAATCTGTTGAAATGTGCATCAAAAGAAGACATCGTAAAAGTGTCTACTTTTGTTACAAGTACACTCAATCCAACTGTAAACCTAATAAAAAATGAGTCAAAAGTTAGCCTTAAACTCAATCAAACAAAGCCGCTAAACAAATTTAAGTTGTCTCTTGGTCAAAATAAAGCAGGCGAAACTGATTGCAGTACATCCAAGGATATAGAAAAAGGAGGAAGCCTCTTATCACTTTTAAATTTAGATAATAAAATATTCGACTCTCCTAATGTTGAACAGATCAGTCAACCACTTTCGCAAGTTTTATCAAGTAATTGTGCATTTGCCTTCCCTGATAAATTTATAATTACTTGTTCTCCTGTTTTAAAATCAGAATTACCTAAATCAAAACTTCAAGAGAAAAAGACTGAAGAAATCCAAATTAGTGTCCATCACAGTCACAGACATGAAGATTTAGAAATGCATTGTCAGGAAAAAAATGATTTATTAAATAATATGTGCTCCCTTACTGAATCTCCTAATATCTTGGCTGTGAGTAATGTTAAAACTTCACCTAATGAGTCTAAAAAAGATAAATATAACTCAGCATTAGATGGTGTAAGTTCAACCGAAAACTTCATTTTGACAAATTTTAAAAGATATCTCTCTCCCAAGGTAGAATCTTCATTAAAACTTAAACGGCGAAAATCAGCCGCTAATGAGGGGGAATTAGAAGATCAAGGTCCAATGCTTGGTTTAGTTGTGAGTTCTCCTGGTTCTGACAATGTATTATGTAACAATTTATCAACTTTAGATCAAGATGAAACTCTGGTTTGTTCTCCCTCCTTCAACTCAGCTTTAGATATAAGAAAGTTTCCTTTAATGCTCTCTGATATAACAGAAAGCAATTCCCCCAAAGAAAAGTTTGAGAAATGTTTACAAGAGAACAAATGTGACACTAACGATAAACTGGAAAACTGCTCAAGAATTCCTAATGTTAAGCCAAATCCAGAGGAAATGGTTCCAAAAGAATTACATCAGGAAAAGAACAAGGTTTTTAATAAAGTAAAGACATTACTTTCCAGTCTGACCGAAAACCCCTTGACAAATGCTGGACTTGTTAATGCCCAAGACCCAGGATCCCCCATTTTGGAAGGCCAAACATTTAGAAAACCAAAGTTGCCAATTGTATCCTGTGAACCACCAATTTTGAAAGAAAGTATCAATGTGCCTAAAAATGAAACTACAAAATGTATAACGAACCCAAGTGACCATTCTGGTCGTAAAAGTGGCAAAAGACGTATAAGGAAAAATTTATCACTATACTTTGAAGAGGTTAAACCTGGAACTTACAAAATAAATGACAAGACCTCCAAATCTTATTGTGATGATGAGAATCGGAGACCTCTTAAGGGTAGAACGACGAAAAGCAAGCGGATGAAAAAATCAAAACTCAATTGGACATTAGATGATGATGAACTAGTATGTTTAAGCCAGATTTCTGGAGTAGGAAATCTTCAACCAAATCCTATCAAAGATGTCAATTGTGAAAAGGTTTGTAGACTTGATATTTTTTTACATAAATGTTATGGTAGAATAACATATTTATATGTATTTTATTAAAAGTTCTCAATTTAGCTGGTCTGTCAGGTTATGGAAGTTTTTTTATCATAAATTATAGCCTACTAGTAAAAGGCCTACTCTTAACACGTTGAGTGCAGGCCAGTCACCTGTGCCCGGCCAGGTCCCGCTGAAATAATCAACCTTGTGGAAAGGACCGGAGTTATTGCGTGAGCATTGTTAGCGTTACATACATAACCTATACTGTGTGTTTTGCACGCTGTTCCCGGTGCCAGCTCCGCAAGACCGGTTAGTTCCCACTTGCACAATTATTTACTTTGGGCATTTTTATTGATGTATTTCTTTTTTGTATTTTTGCTTTTCATAGGACTCATCAATATATTTTATTATTAATTATCTTAGTTTTTAAAATGTTCCTTTTTTTAGATGGACTCCTGAATACCAAATTTTTATCAGCAGTTCCATGATTCACTGTGATTGAAATAAATAATGGTTTGGAGGGAGAAAGGGGCTGTATATAGTTAGTAAATAATATTAATTATAGGTTAGGTGCTATTTAACATTTTTAGTGTGAAAAACTGCGTTTTGAGACAAAAAGATTTAGTTTTTTTTGTCATGGTGCCCACAAACCTCATTGAGTGGGCCATTACCACCAGCCACCAACCACCAGTGATTTTAGACACCATTTTTAATGTGAAAAACTTCTCAAAACGCTATTTTCGACCTGGATCCTCACGTATAGGAACAAAAGGTTTAAGATTTTAGATAAAAAACATTTCAGGCCCTGGGAAAGCACCCACAGATATTTTTACCCCACTCAATGTGTTAACAAAAGTGCATGTGATTAAATGTACAAGCAAGCTATAGTTTACAGTTTATGACTCTGTACAGTTTTCAAGGTACAGTACCCATGTTAATTCATATATTGTTTAGGCATTTTAGGATAGTATAGGCTATGTTTATAGAATTTGTTAAGGAGTTGAAATGATACACTTCTTTTACAAACAGATTTAACCTTCATTTGTTATTTCAGGTGTCTAATGTATTTGATGGAAATCAAAGTCATGTCCCAGAGGCCAAATGTGGTACTCCAAGACACAGGGAGGACAAATCATCCAAAGCCAATGTTCAAAATCACAAACTACAAGAGAGAACTGCCAGTCTACACCTGGCAAATTGGAAAAACCAGGTGCAACTGTTTTGTGATAGTGATGTCTGTATTGAAGATTTTGATGAAGAAAGTCCGATTGAGAGGGCAGATATTATCAATAGAGTTGAAGCCAAGAAAGTAGACTCAGTAAAAAGAAACTTAAACAACTTTGAAAGTGATGTGTCTACAAAACAACTTTACCCAGAACCCAAGAGTATGTTTCTCAACTTTGAGCCAGACAACCAAAACAACACTTGTGAATACCCATCTTCCGAGGACTCATGCTGTGACGTCGAGATCCAGGAAGATTTTTCTCAAAGAACATTTGCAAGGTCTCCTGCTTTCAAGATAGAATATTCTACCACACCAAACACTAAGTCGTCCGAGGTAAGTTAAACTGTATTCTTCATATTAGATTAATTTGTTTATTATTGATTTGATTGAACTATGCAAATGAGGAGTTTGAAAATGTCAGGTTATGATGTGTGTAACAAGCAAAGTGGTTTATACCAATGCAACGACAGGCTTATAGCCTACTCACTTTCACTGGGTTCATTATTTGCAAACATTTTACTTATAAATTCAAACACTAAAAAACAAGTTTTATGTTAGGCTAAATACAAGCATTGAATGGCTATCTTCAACACGCAAAAACAGGTGTTTTTTAGGTTAAGTAAGTTAAGTCAAAGGTCAAATGTAATGACGAATAAACAGCTGATCGTAGTCATAGTATATTCAAGTGTTGCCAGGTTGTTATCAAGTAACACGTATCATGTGCCTTATACAATCACGCTTTTAAGTTGATGTAGGAATTCAGAATTAGCTACTTTGCATCCTATAATCAGTGCAAGAAAGCCCACATTGTCAGGTAACTGTAGGAAAAAATTATTTACTTTAAAATAGGGATGGACGGGATTGAATTTTTAGTTCGGGACGGGACGGGACGGGATTTTTATTTCCTTCCCAATTTTCGGGACGGGACGGGACGGGATTTTTTTCTGTGCATAAAAAGAAAGTACTGTATTGCAGTTACCAAAAAAAGACATACGAAATCAATTTTTACCATTTGTGGCACTGATCTATAAAAACCAAAAAATGGGTAACAATTTACAGGTACCTATAGTAACTTGTGACTCGCGGGTCACGGGGTGATCGTCTGTATGACTCACGGTCACGGCGAGATCGTCGTCATGACTCGCGATCACGGCGCGATCGTCGGTATGACTCGCGGTCACGACGCGATCGTCGTCATGACTCGCGGTCACGGCGCGATCGTCGGTAGGACTCCGCGGTCACGGCGCGATCGTCGGTATGACTCCGCGGTCACGGGGTTATCGTCGGTATGACTCGCGGTCACGGCATGATCGTCGGTATGCGAACACGGCTCGATCGTCAGCATGACTCCGCGGTCACGGCGCTTTCGTCGCCATGACTCGCGGTCACGGCGCGATCGTCGGTATGACTCGCGGTCACAGCGCTATCGTCGGTATGACTCGCGGTCACGGCGCGAACTTAGGTATGACTCCGCGGTCACGGGGTTATCGTCGGTATGACTCGCGGTCACGGCGCGATCGTCGGTATGACTCCGCGGTCACGGGGTTATCGTCGGTATGACTCGCGGTCACGGCATGATCGTCGGTATGACTCGCGAACACGGCTCGATCGTCAGCATGACTCCGCGGTCACGGCGCTTTCGTCGCCATGACTCGCGGTCACGGCGCGATCGTCGGTATGACTCGCGGTCACAGCGCTATCGTCGGTATGACTCGCGGTCACGGCGCGAACGTCGGTATGACTCCGCGGTCACGGGGTTATCGTCGGTATGACTCGCGGTCACGGCGCGATCGTCGGTATGACTCGCGATCACGGCTCGATCGTCAGTATGACTCCGCGGTCACGGCGCGATCATCGTCATGACTCGCGGTCACGGCATGATCGTCGGTATGACTTGCGGTCACGGCGCGATCGTCGGTATGACTCGCGATCACGGCTCGATCGTCAGCATGACTCCGCGGTCACGGCGCGATCTCATGACTCGCGGTCACGGCGCGATCGTCGGTATGACTTCGTCTCCTGCGTTCGCGGACCTACCGCTCGCAATAACGGCGTTATCGGCACTCGCGAAGCGGAAAAATCGCCGACGATCGGACCAAATCCCGTCCCGAAAAATTCCCGAGTCAAATGTAATCCCGTCCCGATAATCGGGAATATTTTTTTCCCGAAAAATTCCCGAAATTTCGGGACCCGTCCATCCCTACTTTAAAATGTGTTAGCCTAATAAGACTTTTTTGCAGGAAACTCAGAATGAAACTGACTTACAACCACCGTCTTTTCCACCAGCTTTAGAAATAGATGTTAACACGGCTTCATCAGCAGTAATAATTGATTCAGCCTGCAAAAACAAAAGAACCAGGGTGAAAAAGTAAGGAATATCTCTATTTAATACTGAATTCTAGTACGATTTGACATTCAATGCCCTTAGCATTTTACAATAAACTAGCTGTGTGCCCGTTCTACGCACGGGGATCTTATAGTAGGCCTAGTCAGTTGGAACCTTCTTATATTAAGATTAAGAACTGCAATTAGTTTGCATATTTTCAGATATGCTGGCAAAACTATTATATATAAACCTTCGCAAATACAGTATCTGACAGTTCAAGCCAAAATAAATGCTTCACAATTAAATGTCACCCGGATCGTGTGGGTCTATATGTCCAATGATTAAACTAAAAAATGTTTTATAGATCCATGAAGCGTAGCCCTAAAGTAGGCCTATAATTGAAAGTTACTTTCCACATCGGTTAACTTAAACGTATTTAAAGTACTACCTCAACCTCACCATTTAACACTTTATTCCGGTTGACATTTTCAGTATCAAACTTGCTCTTGTCCATTCCGTGAAACACTGAGAAATAAGGACATTAATGCGTTACCAACATACAACAAAACAACACAATACAACAATCCAACTAAGGCCACGAACTATTGATACATAAACAATATAAAGGCGTAAACAATTCATGATGGTTTGCCCAACAAATGTTTTACTCAAATAGGTTATCATTTTCTTAGCATACCGGGTAAGCTAAGATTTGGAATCCAGACAGAAAAAGCAAAACTTATACAGAGTTAAGACATCACTTAAATTGAATACGGACGGCTCTAATAAATAAGGTGCAACACCAACGATATCAAATTTGTAAACTACCGGTTCTAAGGAAAAGAACCAGAACCTACCTAAGAACTATAGTAAATCGGACCAATTAAATACATTAATATCTAATCCCGAGGTTATTGATCTCTTGCTTTTGGATTTTCTCGTAAAAAGTTATAGCGTAAACTTATCGGTGTCAGTTTGAAAAAAAGCAACCTTACCCAAACAACTTTTTGTTATTTAATAGATTACGCATTCTCTAAACTATTATTAGTGTATCTATTAACATTAGAAGGAAATGTGACGAAAATCACACAATGTTGGGGTTTTGGTCATTTGTAATTTTATTTCTTAAGTAGGTAGGCCATGTATTCTATGGAAAAGTACCGGTATCAAGGATCGTCGTCAAAAAGGTTGATATTAATAAATATGTAGGCTTACGTACCCAAGATATGAGCTATGGGCCTATTGGCTGTATGGTCCAGCGATTGCATCACACGGTGAGTAGAAACATAAAGTGACACATTGGAAAAGCGAGTTTAGCACTTCCTCTGTTACAATCACCCACTGCAGTTGTGATTTTTTACTTTACACTTTACACAACCACCATTGAAGCGCCGTCAATGAGTGGAAACCTTTTTTGTAAGCTATTGGCGACGATCATTTCAGTGTCCAGCCCTATACAACACTGATTCAAGGTCTTCTTCTTTCTGGTTGTCAAAACTCAAGAAACATTTTATACTCAAAGAATTTCTGGTTCCGATTTGGACGATGTTTAGTTATTTAATTTCATTTACGGTTACACTATTAGACTATATTATTGCACTTGCGATTAATTAAATCCGTTATGTAAGAAAAACGTTTTTAATCTCACTTGGTTAGGATTTGCTTTCAAAACGTGATTCGAAATAGTTGCGGTATTTGTAAACAACATTTGTAAACATATCATTGACAGCTAGAAAAAATAATCTTGATCCGAACAGCTGTTCGTTATTTCATAGACGATTATGTGATAAAAATTGAACGAAAATTTGACAAAAATCGCACAAAACTGCATTTTTGAACGTCCGTAATTTTATTTACAAAGTAGTGAGGCTATACTTAAATCACTAAAGACACTCTCGCCAATCCAGTGAATACATTAAAATGACTTGGATCTTGATAGGTACTCTGGTTTTCACGGAGAAGATTGCGTAAAATGCCATCTTGAATGTTACAGACAAAGGGACAGACAGACAGACAGAAATAGAGATAAGACTCGTTTCTGCTTCTTTAATGTATAAAACGTAAAAATAACCTAAAAGTATACAATTCTGAGCAAAGTACAGACAAAACTCTAATTTTATTTATATAGATTTACTGCAAGGAGTACTTATGTCTCAATAGTGTGTTTGGTAGTCAATGTCAAAGATTTTATGGCATTACTGTGCAGTCAAATTATCGGAGAGTTATATCTCACTCCTCTTTCTATAAGCGGTCAATTTTAGATTTTCAAAACTAATTTCTTTAGGAAGACCAAAAAATATAATTTTTTCATCTTGTGGCTAACGTAACAACATTTTTAATGGCTTTTACAGAATCTGCATTAAATATTCTACTAGAAAAAGAATTTGTTAAAAATTTCAAAATATTTCAAAACATGTAAACATTGAAGTTCTTCTACTCTTTCCATAAAAATAGACCAAAAGACTACACTTAAAAAACTCAGGGAGAAAGCCTAGGTTGATACAGCAATGGTTATTGCATCTTCTTTTATTCCATAATCAATGGCACAATCTAGAACAAAAAACCCAAACCTTATTATTTCAGCGATCAAAGGACTATGGTTTGTAATAAAAATGTTTTTCTTTAGTTATGAAATGTGTCTGTTTATGATATTGTTTTAACTATCAAACTCAATTAACAACTAAGCACTGGCTCGATCTTCGGTACTTAACATTAAAATGTTAACGCAAAGGTAAACATTGTAAGTTTTCTCATCATGCCATGGAGATCAATCAATATTTACTTTTGAAATCCTCACCTCAAAACTTTGGACATCCCCGGGGCGCAGCCCGAGGCGAGGGGAACTCAGGGAAGTGAATAGGTCTAAGACATTCCTAGATTTGTGAACCATCTTTGTGCATAATTTTGGCTTTAGGCCTATTGGCTTAGTATTTTAGTCATGACAGGGGACAGACAAAAATACAGACAGAAACTACCTTATTTTTATTAAAGTATACATAGAGAAGGTAGATTATCTGGCCTCCTTCTTTCAGCATCTCAGCTGTTACTCTATCTTCTCCTGGTACCTTATTGTTTTCAAGGTAACTTATTGCAGTTTTATGTCTTCCATGGATGGATTGGCTGCAAAAGGTTGCACATCCTGATATCCATATATATAGGTCTTTCTGCGCGGTGCGTATCCTGCTCATGATTCAATAAGTAGCATAAATAGACTCCTTACTTATAGACCCTCAGCTTTCCGCATAATTACTTTTCTTGTTTTGTTTTTTTTTAATGTCATGTGGATGTGTAAGGCTTGAATTCTTTATTGAACTCACCTAAAGTTTTAATAAAATTCTCTTGAATTGCTAGCTTTTTTGTCCTTTTCTGTTTTATCCAGCAGACTATTGATCCATTATCTTTTCTTCCTTTTGAGAACTTTAACTGTTTGCTTTTACTTTGGTATCACAGTTCCTCCTGTCAATCTCTCTTCCATGTTTCAGCCAGATGTCTTTAGCTTGTTTCCTTTTAATTACCATAAATTACAATCTTCAACAAATCAATGTTTCTGTTTCCTGCGCTTTTTCTTCACAAACCTCTTCAGCACATTTTTGCATTGTGTTTCTTAGCGGTTTTCATCTGTCCTCAATAGGATTATAACTGGTAGTAGCATTTATTACTCAATTATTACTAGAATTATGATTTTTTAAATGTTGCGTTAACAGCATCAACCCCTTCTTTTACAGAGGCAGTCTGGTTGAGAGGCTGAGGAGGCTTGTCCGAGGACAGCGTGCCGAGGTCAACATGTTCCATCACGAGATCTCAGCACCGAGGACCAACACTAAGACGTGTTCACTATCTGTTGTCTCAACCACGCAGGCTTGCTCCTTGCTGATGCTCAACTGTAGATACACGGACGCCAGCAGAACATGTATGTATTCAGGGGTTGTCCTTTCTTTTGGATACAAATTTTTTTAGGATGGAAGAATCCCAAATTTTTGGAAAATTTTCAGAAAAATATAAATTTCACTGTGTTTGGAAGTTACGAAGATGGTGTCTCTGTAATCGCACAAGATACAATTTTTCCCTGCAATTGTGGGAGAGGTCATGGATTTGGTCGCTAAGGTGGGAGAATGAGGATTTTGCCACTTGGTGGTTAATTTACAATGATGATGTATTTGTATTTGCGATAGATGTTCATATTTAACTGTGAACACAGATTTTAGTCATGATGTTATAAAAAAATTCGTGGTGAAATAAGACCTGATATTGATTGAATCAATATTTCCATTTGAAAACTTTTTTAAACAAAGACAAAGTAAAGTTTTTCTATTTGCACACACAAAGAAATAAAAGACATCTTTTGTAATTTCCATCAATCCTTAAATATGTTCTTACTTCACTATAATATCTTGTGTGTGAAACATAGTGGTGTATAGTATTAACACTTAGAATCCCTTGGTATTATTAATAAATTATTTCTTAATTTTTTATCCTACTTATTGCTTATCTCACACAAAATTCTTGGTTTTTATATACAAACTAGAAGGTAAACTTACCAGGTTTATTAAACCAGTCACAGATTGCACTAGCAACTTAAAGTCTATTTTCTACCTTACGATGCTAAGATAGTTGACATAACATAAAACATTCTTTAGGATGTATAATAAGTCATCCTATCGGCTTGACAAAAAAAAGTCTGAATATTCCACAGAAATCGGTAAACTTAATTTACATCAGGTTAATCTGTCGATGGCTCACTTCAACTATGTCCATTTTTATTTTAGGGATAGAACATATTGTTCTATTAGTAGTCAAAGCAAAGGTTAAACTGTCAAAAATACAGACTCACGATGTGGATGCATTGCAGCAATCTGTTGCAAGCTACACTACAATTCAAACAAGTTCATATTATTATACAAGTTTTCGGTGCTCACACTAAATTTACAATAATAAGCTAAAAGTAGTAAACTTCCTGGTCAGAGGTGAACCTGAGTTGTCTATGGTTTGTTTAAAAGGGTCTCTCCCCAAGTGTGGGGCATTGAGCTGTAAGGGAGTTTTCCATAGATAGATGAACTTCTCATAAGTCGCACACTGTACAGACTACTGAGTACTGAGGCAGGATTTGAACTCTCAATACCTTCTGTCCCAGTGTAGGAGTTCAAGGCTCGTACTCCAGATTTTTGTACATGCAGGCTTAATTTTTGCCAGCTACTAAAATAGTTTCTGTACTGATTTATAATTGTGTTTATAGCTTCCCAAGATTATGGGTCGGGAGAGGAGATAGTTGATCCTGAAGTACATGTATATGTTGATCCTTCATACACCAAGAACATCAGAGAAGGCTGTAACATTACTGTTTTCCCACCTTGGTAAGCATATTTATTATTTGTTTGTTGTGATTTATCGTAGTCTACTTTGCACACAGTATTGAAATCACATCACTAACCCTAATTCACTAATCATGGTTAAATAAACACACTACAGTCGGGACCACGAGAGTCTACAGTTGGTGGCAGCCAATCACAAGACAAGGCTAGTATGACGTTGCCATATCGCCCGTTGACGACACTAATTAAAATACTAAACAATATTTTCAAATCAGCTGGTATTATTAGATTCGGCAACACCACACTGTCCTCATTGGCTCCTTCGAAGTCACGTCGTAAATAGGCTCCTCCCTCAACTGCAGACTCTCTTGGTCCCAACTTTAGAGTGTTGTTTTTATTTTTTTGGTGTTTCTACACCATTGGTGTTTTATTGCTAAATTAAACAAGTGTATATGTGACAGTTACCTACTGTATTGAAGCTATTGGAGGAATATAAACTTATAGGCTTAAAGAGGTGTGACAATTCTTTTCCAGAGAAAACAGCTTTCTTCTTGTACTATATAAATCTTTAGGGCCTAATGCATTTATGTTTATATCATTTACTTTGTTGTTTTATTTATTTTTTATTGATGGATAGTTTGGCTTTTTTGGAGGGGCTAAGTTACTAAGACTTATCGCAGAGGATTTTTCCTTTTCATTATCAAAATTTCTGAAATTCCTTTATAACTTTCTTTAATCTCAGGCTTTACTCAATCATAAACCTAAGATTGTGAAGCTATAATATAAGATATACAAGGTTGTTTACAACAAAGATTAGGTATGACAGATACAGACTACAGATATTACAGACTGAGCCCCAAGCTGGCTCCATTTATTGGTTCATTCCAGTCCTTCAATCATTTCCTTAGTATAAACTCAAGTTTTAAAATTTTTGACATTTGACACCCAACTTATCAATCTAATTTCTGCCTTGCACTAGTGTTGAAACTTGAACGATATTTTGGTTTCAGTTTCAATCAGTGAGTTATGTTTGATTGTTTTGGCAGGCGCAGTTTGTGGTACGAGAGCAGAGGTGTCGTAGTCATGTATCAGGTGACTAAGATCCGTCTAGAGACTACAACTCACAAAATTAGTCTTCCTGTGGTCGAGGGTAGACAGCCCAGTCATACTTCTGTGGCGCAGTTCACCTGTCAAACTCAGGGTATGAAACTTTACAAGAAAAAGGTTACTAGGTATTACCTAATTTTAAAGTTTGTTTTTTCTCACAGTCTTTCCTTCCTTTTCACTACAAAACCCTTACACTAGCTCTTATTATTTTTCTATAAGTTTTAATTTTAAGGTTCATAGACCCTCAAATGAGATAAAACCCTAGGTAGTCAAAAGTTCCTGGGTATCCTTGATCTTCCAGAAAAGTCTGTGTAGTCACTTTTATCCTAGATGACCAAAATAGTTTATTTTTTAATCAATAGTTATTTGTGTAACTAGTGGTGAAAGTGGCACTTTGCTGCACACGAGAGCAATGCGGAATGATCTCGAGTGCAGCAAAGGCCTTTTTCACTCGTGTTACACATTATATTTTTCCTACAGTCACTATAAAGCATATAAATAATTAGTCTTTCAAACACTATACAACACGTTTTTAGGTTCGGTTGGCAACACAAATGGTGCCATAGAGAAAGTAGTACCCGCAATCCGTATCACTCCGCTATTTTTCCTCGGAAAGAAATGTGCTCCGTGTTTTGAGAATATAGTTCCGTATGTTTTGTAATTTGAAGTGGTTTCCGCGCCTAAAAAAATGATTTAAAGGTATTTTCTTGTTTATTAAGATTGTAGGAATGTTTTAAAAACGTTTAAAGGAAAGTCAGGAAAGTTCAGAAATACCGAAACTATAAACACGAAATGACAGGTTAAATCGTCGTTATAATAGTCAATCAGCTGCTCTTAGTATTATTATCTTTTTAAGTGTTGCCAACTTGCCAACCTATTTCCAAGCATACACGGATTACGTGCATAATATAACCACGCTGTTTTGTGTTGTTTAATTGGAATCCTGATGTGCGGCAAAGTATAAACCGTACGACAAAGTATAAACCGTACGGCAAAGTATAAATATGCAGCAATTAGCAGCTTTCTGTACTATAAACAGTACAAGGAAGCCAACTTTGTCGGGTGACTGTAGGAAAAATTATTTTGTTTTCTCTTATTATTGAGATTGTACATGTTGTACAGATGAGCTGTGTGGTTGCCGTAATCAGCTGGTATCTCAGCTGTTCACAGCCCCGCTGTTGTCAGTACAGCCCCACAATGCAGCAGATGGGGCTCTCACAGCTGCACTGGCAGGGGGCTGGTACCCTCATAGGGTCAAGGTCAAACTTACCCTGCTGCACAGGTATCAGGCGAGGTAAGAGTTGAGAATACTTGTCATGGAACTTATATTAGTTTAAATTTTGTTGAATTAAATTGATTTTAGAGATAACCATCTAGAACCTTTTTGAGTGAATTTTAAATCAGACACTCTTTTTGCAGATACGTTTTAGCTTATTCTTACTTTGTGTGTCCATCATGCACCGAAAACCTATTTTCAAATGGGAATGAACAAATCACTGAAAAATCTATTGAATAACTACTAGTCAAAGCACATATTTTTAAGAGTTGTCATAATCAACATGGCTGCATGTTTTTAGGTGTCATCAAAACAAAGTACAGACAAGAATTCTGTGTGTTGACAGCGATGGGTTAATGTGTCAGCTGAATCTTCGTTCTGAAGAAGGTAAGTAACTCAACATGTGGTGTCCATGGGAATCTTTATAGTTGATGCACACAAAGCTGTTTGGAGACAGCCTTAGCCCTAGGCTTGTTATTTTTATATGCTGAGAGATCCTAGGTTACACTACAGGTACTATAAAGAACTTGGTAATGTTATGAAAGCCAAACTTATGTTGTTCCATGCAAATAGTTTAAGGTGGTATTTTAGGACTGAATTCATTTTGTCTTTTTATTTTTGTTTGTTTCAAATTTCTTTATGCATTTTCCTTACTGGGATTCAAAGATGTTGAAAAACAACACTAGTGATAAAATACTACTAAACTACTTATCAAACTATTGTTAAATTAATTCAAGTCATGTTACTAAATCCATTCCTGCCATTTTTTTCATTCTAGTTCTTTTTTCACAGTGCATGGAATCCAAGAACTACTCGTGACTTCCTGACTTTCACGTATACAAACAACAATTTTACTGTCTACTTTTAAATGCTTGTGTATAAAAAAACTAATTTCTCTGTATTTTTTGTAGATATCTTGAAATTAGGGTTATGGAAAGAATCAGAAGGAAAAACTTTTGTAATGAGGAAGCTTACAGTGAGCAGACGTGTCTTTATTGATAGGTGAGTGATAAAGACTAGAAATTAGCAATACTTTTCAGTAAAGAAATATTTCCGATTTTTAGTTTTCGTGTACTTAAGTTAACTATGCTGAGGTATTTTGTATTACTCATAGGAGATTGTCTAATTATATGTTTTTGATTCAATGTTCAGGGAATTGTATCCCTGACTTCTGAGAGATAAAATAAAATAACACTGTTTTTAACATGTGTTTTTAACCTTGTTGATTTTCAGGAGTAGAGGTTTGAGATCATTCCTGAGCTACCTACACCCTGACTCCAGCAGTCAGCAGATAATGTATGTAGCTACTCCAGCTGATGACTGGACAGCTCAGCTGATTGAGACAACAGCTGATATACAACCTAGGATCACCATACATCAACAGAAACTCCTCACTTTGCCCATAGAGGAGGTATAACCATTGTATTGTTATTATTGAAGCATATTGCTTGTTAGTCTAGTGTCCAAATTAAGTTTCACTTAATGTTTTGTTATTTTTTTTGTATTAAGAACTCTTTGGCTTAAATCTTTGACAAAAACAATTGGGTATAGTAGTTTTAATTACTTAGATTGTTTACAAGTCTAAATAGTACTTAGAAAAGCTAGTACACTAGGATCAAAACCAAAACCAAAAGTAAAACATAAGAAATGTAAAAATGTTCTGCATTTACAGTATTAGATAAAGATCTTTATCTGATCCATGAGAATGACAATAGTATATTTCTGTCACTAGGGCCTAAAGTGACTCTTTTTCGCCCGAGGTCAAGTTTTACAATCGAGGTGAAGCCGAGGTCGGAAAATGAGTGAGGATTAAAAAGACACTTTTTGCCCGTGAACTATATTGGTGAACTATATTTTTCGCCATATTCCATACCAATTAACAAGCCAAGCTAGAAAACAAAATAATTTTTATGTAAAGATAACCCCTCAAAACGACTTCCAGCTTGTTTTCAATTCTGCTAATGCAAATAAGCAGATGTTTAATAATCAACAAAATGGTGTACTTAAATTAATATTTTTACCTCAAAATATATGTACCTATATAAATATCAGAAACCACACAAACTGTTTTGAGTGGCACTACTAAAAGTTTGCTATCAAATGCAGTTGAAAATTTACCTGTGGTACACTGTGCCTAAGTAAATGTTGATAGTTATCATGATTTTTATTAATATGTCTAAAAATATGTTATATTTTTTATTACTACATTCTGGCCATTTTCCCTTGCTATGCAGGAGGTGGAAGGAAGAGCGAAACTACAAGTCAGGGTGATGGCTGTGCGTAGAGACGAACTGTTTGCTTGGGAGCCGAGACTCGATCTGTACATCAAGTTGAACATAACCTCAACTGCAGCTGTGCCAAACTTTCCTGCTCGTGCGTGTCTAGACATGAGTTACATTTGGGCTCACCAAGGTAATTATTCGCAGCAATATCAAACTTAGCATAGGATATTTTGACCTGAACAGAGTAAGATGTTTGAAATATTGTCTTGTTACTAGAATCAAGAATCAAGATCTTTATTGTCATTGGCTTTTTACAAGGAATAGACATAGTCAACAACAGAAATAAAAACTAAAGCTATAAAACACAGTGGGTTCTAAATTAAAAATTAATATTAACATCAGAAACTAAGTAGGCTACTCTGTTATACAGTAATATGGATTTTGGATGAGCCACTCAAACATTTTTTAGACTTAAACCTATTAAAAGAAACCTGTTTTGCTGCCAGACCTAATTGATTAAAAAACTGTATGCAATTTATTTTATGGCAGTTATCTGTTTTGGCCAATCTATGAGCAGGGATATCTAGATTGGATTTGCCTCTTGTATTGTAATAGTGTATACTCTTTCTACAAGTGAATTGATGAAGATTGGCTTTAGTGTAGAGGAGTTTATGTGAAAAATATACAAATTTACAACGGTCATAATTTTAAGGTCTATAAAAAGAAGTCGACAGCTATCCACAGGGCCAGCCCCACAGATTGTTCGTATGACTTTTTTTGTAATAAAAGAATTTCATTGGTGTGGGGTGAGTGTCCCCATAGCATAATCTCGTAAGAAATATGAGATTGAAAAAAACCAAAATAAGTAATCCGAAGGTATTCATTACTAACAAAATCTCTGAGTTTCCAAATTAGATAATTTACTCTAGAAATTATTTTACAAGTGATTTCTATAATGTGCTTTTGCCAATTTAATTTTGAATCAATTTGGAATCCTAATAATTTTACAGATTTTAATTCATTGTCAAGTGGGGATAGACTCAAATGAATTTTCTGTGTTTTTTCTTGATTACACGTCAATTTATTTGAAGAAAACCAATTTAGTGCTGATGTTATTGATTCATTAGTAATTAAATCAAGCTCATGGATATCTCTATTTGTTGCAATCAAAGTTGTGTCATCAGCATATACAACAGTGTCTACATCAACATTCCTCAGCAGGTCATTTATCGAGATTAAAAACAAGAAGGGTCCCAAAACCGAGTCCTGTGGAACACCTTCTTCAACCAATCTTAAGTTAGACTGACTGCCTCCAACAGATACATACTGCTTTCTATTAGTTAAATTAGGATTTCTATCCTAGTTTTAGTACTACAGTATATCAAAAGCACAAAAAAAGCTGCGATTTTCGACCAAAGATGGATTAAGTTGAGAGGTGTGCCTTCTATCCTAAAAAATCCTCAAAATCCAGGCTTTTTGCCCTAGGATACATCAACCTTAATAAAAAATAGGCCCCTATCCTTTGTCTTAAAAATAAAATATCATAGGCTACGGTAACTTAATTAACTTAAAAATTATATTTAGCTTGAATAACACTATCTGCCCAAATTTACTCCATAGTCGACTTATTAACATAATCAACAATTATTTGTTGTTTCCAGGAGAATTTACAATAGACAAGTTCACTGAAGTGTCAATAGTGGAGCTGAAAGATGAAGACTCTCCTAACATTCCTCCTCTTGCAGTTGACTCTGCTGAGGGAAATCTGGTTCTTCTTGACAGTAAGTTGTATAGTTTTAAAACTTGACAGGGGAGATTTTTTTTTAGTGATATGTTTTTGATTGACTTACCTGAAAATAGAGTGCAGCAGCTATGACGGCTTGCAGGTACATACAGAAACTGTTAATTTAAAGTGGATTTTTTTTCACACGAGATTGGATTTGTTGAGAAACGTGTGTAAAAAATGTTTTATAAAATTTTAAACTAATCTTTAACTCATATCTTGTCAAGATCAACCAAGATATCTTGTCAACCTACTCTCAGAACAATTCATAGTAGTACAAAATATCCCTATTAGTTAACTAGCCTTGTTTGTATTTATTAGTCTTTAGACTCAAGATTTGCTTAGGAAAGCTAGCTGATTTCTATCTCTTTCCAAAAAGTAAACCATTATTTAATTGAAATTCTCATTGACCTGGACATCTAGGATCCGTTCAGATTAATAAGAGTTTACTGTCGAAAGTCAGAAATATCTTTATTTTATACAATTATTCAAGAATTACAATAGTGTCAAGTAATTTTTTTATTATTATTAATTTCTGGTATGCGGTAGAGCTTCTCCCATCTCAAGAAATTCATCTAGGGTTTAGAAATGTATCTGTGCAAATAATGACATAAAACGCTGATTGTAAAAGAGTGTAGGTACCTGTGCTGTGAAAAGTAAATTAATGAAGTCACAAGGCATAACTTACGTTAAATGTTTCACCCAAAATTATTGCTGTAGAACACTATATAAGCTATTCTCGTACCTTGACAAAACCTCACTTTAACTTTGTAGCGCTTCAATCCTTTCTTTGTATTTCATTAATTTATTTGTGTAATTTTACACTGTGCACTAAAAGTGCCTATCTAATTGTAATTTAATAACAATGTACAGTCTTAAGCGGAAAGCCGTACGGCGGTTTGAACATAACAAATTAATTCTGGTGCTACCGTTACCTTGTCGGAAGTCCGATGAATGATGGTGATGAATGATGATGAATGATGGTGTTAAATGAAGTTAAACTGTAAAATTAGAAATAAATGGCAAACTCACGAACAACACAAAAGAAATGGCCGAACACTTCAACACATTCTTCTCAAATATAGCAGAAAATACCCTTGACCAAAACAGAGCAATCGTTATAGAACCTGAAACAGTGCTGAATGGAGAGGAACCAGTCCAGTCCGTCCAATTCACCTTACCTTAACTTCAACATCCTATAAAGAAGTTGAAACGATAATAAACTCCCTAAAATCCAAAACATCAAGTGGAATAGATGAGTTTTCCTCAAAGATGATAAAGCACTGCTCCCAAGAACTCATCTCTCCTCTGGTTTATCTTATAAATAAATCATTTAAAGAAGGCAAATTCCCATCCACCATAAAAGTCAGTAAAATATATCCCAAACATAAAAAAGAACCAACTGAAAATGCTCAAAACTACAGACCCATCTCTCTCATCTCCAGTTTCTCTGAAATCATAGAAAAAATAGCTCTGGCTAGATTAATGGCACATCTTAATCATAACAAACTCTTAACTGACAACCAACATGGCTTTCGGAAGAATAAATCCACCTCCTCAGCTATAATAGCCCTAATTGAGTTCGTCCTAGACCAGATAGAAAATGAACAATACATTTCCGCCATCTTCCTTGACTACAGTAAGGCTTTTGACTGCCTGAGCCACAACCTGATATGCAAGAAACTCGAAAGACTCGGCATAAGAAACTCAGCGCTAGAATGGTTCAAAAGCTACCTAACAGGACGTTCACAAGTCGTGGAACTGAAAAACTCATCAAATGAAGTCACAGCAAGTTTCAAATCTTCAAAAAGCAAGCTGACAAGAGGAGTTCCACAAGGCTCTGTATTAGGCCCGATTCTATTCATCCTATTGACTAATGACTACCCCAAACAAATTGAGAGTGAAAATGCTGTTGCAATCATGTATGCAGATGACACAACCATTTTGATCAAGGACAACACAGCCCAAAGCCTGTACCTTAATTCAAAATCGATCCTAAATAGAGCCATCCTCTACTCAAAGAACAATGACTTAGCAATAAACCCCACAAAAACTACAACTCTGAATTTCAGTAAGAAAAAAGACATAGTCCCTCAATTAGAGGATGTAACAATAGAAAACCTTACAAAATTTCTCGGTGTTATCCTTGATAACAAACTAACATGGAAAGAGCACATCAACCACCTACGCAAAAAAATCAGTGCCGGAATATATGTCGTCAGAAGAATAAACTACATAGGCGGACTCTCTGTGGCCAAAACAGCTTACTTTGCACTGGTAGAGTCGCATATTAGATATGGCTTGACAGTGTGGGGAGGAACTTCAACAAAAAATACAAATCGAATCCTTGTTCTTCAGAAGAAAGCCATAAGAGCCAACCTTGTCCCACCACAGACTTGCAGACTAGCATTCGCAAACCTAGGAATCCTCACAGTGGTGTCTCTACATACTTGAAACCATAAAGTATGTGAATGAAATAAACCCCCCAAGAAACCAAGACCTGCACCACTACAACACCCGTCATGGCTCCAAATTTGTCCTACCAGTTCACCGAACAACTCTTTGGGAAAAAAACCTTCCTACACCGGCTGCAAACTGAGGAACCATCTACCTGACTACCTGAGAGACCTGACTGGCAACAAGCTACACCAGGAGTTGAAGAAGTGGCTAATCGCAAGACCCTTCTACACAATAAAGGAATTTTACAAAAATTATGGAAAATAACACATACAATTCACTATTGTATTGACACTATTGTAATTCTTAACGAATGAACAGAAATAGTTATTTGTGCAACTAGTGAGAAAAGTGAGCAATTGACTCACTCGAGAGAAATCCTTACTCACGAGCCGTAGGCGAGTGAGGAATGGTTTCTCGAGTGAGGCAATTGTACTCTGAACTCGAGTTGCACATTATACTTTTCCTACAGTTACCATAAAACAAATAAATTGGTGAAGAAACATAACCTATTTTTACACAGAAGTGAACTTTTAATATAACATTTTTTGTGAAGTGACAAATACAAGTGTACAACAGCTGACCAGCTGATTTACAGCCAGTGCTGCCAACGTATTTATATTGCCTGCATGTTACGTGCTCACTATTTCTTGCCTTCACGTTGCAAATCTGGAGTGAGACAAAGTAATTAGAGTGAGACAATGTTAACATTGTCTCACTGATGAGCGAATTGGCCACTTTGCTTTCTCAAATCAGTGAGAGAACATGTACATTGTTAGGTAACTGTAGGAAAAGAATATTGTATTGTATTGTAAAAACAATGAGATTTAAAGTACAAGTAATATGATGTAGGTAGGTATAGGTAGGGACATCTACTCGTGAAGCCATCAGTAATGCCAGTCAGGAGCAGCGTCTCCAGCGGTCGGAGTGGGACGGCTTGCAGCGGATAACATTGGGTTGGGCAGCATCAGTGTAGGGACTTAATAAGTAACGGACAAAAAATGTTGCATCAGTAAATAATGAAAGTAAAGTAAAAAGTGTATTTATGTTAGGACAAATTTTAACTTAAAATTGATTATATTATAATACTGATACTAGAGAACTAAGTGTTGCTTAAAAACGGTCTATCATTTATCATTACAGCCCTTATCAATATAGTTATTACACGTTTTAAAGATCCAATTAATTATAAATTTAGTTCACTGTTGAAAACAACTCTTAGTAATCTTAATACCTAGGAGGAGATTGCTGTTAAACAATTCTGTTTTAAATTTTTTATGATAGCTTTAGTCATCATTTTCAAGAAATTATAGTCATATCTCATTAAACTGACATTTTTTATTCTATATTTTATAACGGTTGCTGAACAGTAGGCCTATAAATTCTGACTATTCCAGTAACCTACAGTAAATCTAACATGGTTTATAATTTAAATTATTACCTTTATTTATTTTATTTGACAGATCGTTACATAGATTTCAAACCCAGGTACAGCCAATGTTCCAATAATGACTATGTCTTAGACAAACTAATCTATAGCCAACCAGCTAAATACTGAATTTTTCCAGGTATTGTGAGAAAGGTGAGCTCGGATGCTTACCTGCGCTGGGAAGGAAGCTGCGGACACAAGGTGATGCGAGTACAGAAGACTGGTCAGTTCTACTGTCTAACCTGCAGACAGACTTCTGCATCCAGCACGCAGAACGTTGTGTTGGAAGTCTGTGTTTTTGCAGTGGACATTCCACACCTTATCAGGGTCAAGGTAAAGCAATAGTTTTGACAAATGATAGAAGTAGACTTTCCATTTCCATGCTCAAGCTGTTGTCAGTTTTATAGGAATGAAAGTATAGTAATTATTGAATTGTGCCACCAACAGAGTGTAATGTTTTTTTTTTGTTTTTTTTTCTTAGGGAGAGGAGGGAAAATGCTTTTACGCATACAGGTAGCCAGCCTGTAGTGTGAGACTCCTGAAAATTATCAGACTACTCACTAAAAACCCCCTTTACTCTGTTGGACACAGACCTGGAATTGTTTGTCACATTACTTCAAGTCAGGCCAACATGTGACCTAAGCCCTCAGGGCTCGCACCGTTTCTGGCATTTAGATTCTTAATGACCTACACCGCATCCCGGTCAAGGTCGATCTTCTTGGTGCGGAGAATACCCTGGATATAATGTGACACACAGGTCCAATTGTCCTCACCCTCCGTCATAATCGGTATGACCGTGTCCACCGACAGCAGTCCTACTAACTGTTGAGCCTCCAAGCGGGGCCTTTCCCAGTGCTGGCAGTGGAAAAATGTATGTTCCATGTCATCGAGAATGCCTGGGCAATATATGCAGTCGGGTGACACAGCTTTGCCCATCCTGAACAGGTACGACCGGAAAAAGCCGTGTCCCGCCAGAAATTGGGTGAGGTAGAAGTCCACCTCTCCGTGCCGCCGATCCACCCAAGGTTGGACTTGCTGTATCAGTCGCCTGGTCCAGAGTCCCCGTGTCTCCTGTTCCCAGCCCTCCTGCCACAGCTGGTAGGTGCGGGTGCGTTCCTCTGTTCGTGCCTCGTCCTCGCCACGGCGCCGGTAAATTGCCTTTCTCTCCGCCGCCAAAAGTTTGACGGGGATGACTCCAGCAATCACCAGGACGGCGGGCTCGGACACTGTTCGGTAGGCAGATGCTACCCTCAGTGCTTCCTGACGCTGCACTCGGGCGAGCCGCATCCTGTATGCCTCCTTATTTAGTGCGTCTGCCCACACTTCCGCACCGTACAAGAGTACGGACTGGACCGAAGACATTAACAGCCTTCTACGACTGGACCGAGGCCCTCCGACATTGGCCATCAACCGGCTAAGAGAAGAAACCACCCTAGCGGCCTTGTCCGCTGTACGGAAGATCTGATCCCGCCAGCTAAGCTTGCTGTCTACCATGACCCCAAGATACTTGGCAGAACGAACAGTTTGAACCTCGACGACTCCCACCCTCAACGGCACGATGGTGTCAATCCGTTTTTTTGTCAAAATCACGATCTCGGTTTTGCTCAGAGCAAGCGAGAGACCGTGGTCTGCCATCCATGCGTTTATGGTACGCATAACTCGGTTTAGCTTTAGCTGAGCCAGCTCAACGCTACGTGCAGCTATCAAAGCAGCAACGTCGTCTGCGTACCCAACCAAAACCGTTTCCTCAGGCATTTCAGACCTCAGAAGGCTGTCATAAGCGACGTTCCAGAGGTCTGGGCCGAGTATGGAACCTTGGGCAGCACTAGAAGTGACACTCATCGTCCGCGGGCCCTCCGCAGTGTCATACGTTAGGAGGCGAAACCGGAGATAATCCTCTATGATGCGCATGAGGTATGCCGGCACGTGGAAGGTGTTCTCCAGAGCGTCCAGCATATCGCACCACCTAGCAGAATTAAATGCATTTCGCACATCGAGCGTTACGAGCAGCACAACCCTGCGAGAGTAGTGGTTAAAATCCTCAGCTCTCATCACGGCTTGCTTCACCTCCCCAATCGCATCAATCGTTGATCGCCCCGTCCTGAATCCATACTGACGAGGGGAGAGGTCCCCCGCAGCGACAACGGCTGAATTTAGCAACAAAGGTTACCATGGTTACTAATCACCCCATTAGCCTCATGTAGTGCTTGGAACAACTATTTTTGATATGAGACCCAGGGGTCTCGTATCGTTATAAAGTAAAAGTTTATTACTTCAGTGCGTTACGAGATCTATTTATCTCGTTCATTTCATAGTTACTAGTTGATACATCAAGAAAAATGCATTATATATGTACAAGTTTAATTTCTTTACGATAACTGTACGCCGAAATATCGATGTCGTAATTTTTGGAAAGAAGCCAAATTATGGGTCCCGCACTACGGGCTAGGTACGATACGAGACCTCGGGATCTCGTAGCGCAGTGAACGTGTTAACTGTAAAACATCAGTCTCATAATATAACGATCACTAACTACTTAAAATCAAATATAACTTTAAAATCACTTTCATGCTAAGGAAGGAGCTTATGGTTGGTTTATTTCAAATGCTCTGACACCTTTTGTCTGTGTTACGTTAAATATCTTTAGAATATTTTTGTTATTTTATATTTTATATGATTTTACATAGTTTTTTAAAAGAGTTTATTTAAAGTTGCCATAATAATGCCAAGAACTTAAAATCCACTTTAGTTAAGAAGACAAATTATTGTAATTGTTCAAATGAATGCCCGATCTATTGGAGTGTTCAGAATATTTTACAAATAACCAGAGAGATATATTTTTTAATTGATAAATAATAATATTCAAGATTTTTTATTTCTGTACTTTAGGAATATTTGGGGAAATAGCTGTCCAACAATTTTAACAACCTTAGTTGTTAGGGATTTACTGTAATCCAAAATAATTCATACTGATAAGAAACTATAGTTCAATGTGAAATTTAATTCACTGGTATTTTCTATATAGCAATAATCAGTCTTCTCACTTTGTATTCATTATACTAATAAGTCATGTTGTTGGTCACTTTCAAGGTCAAAAGTGAAACGGCTAGAGTATTATTGGCAGAAACAAGCGGTCAAATATCTTCTGAAAAGGTTTGTAGTTTTCTTTTTTTAATATTGTCAATTGAGAAGCTTAGTGTACAGTAATTATTAACCTTCTCTTGTAACTGCAGTTGTTGGAAATGAATGTAAAATATAGCGTATGTTCATTTTTAACTGTTTTTAAGTTAGTAAGTTAACTGACTGACTTTTGAACAAAGTAGCTCAATAGTGGAACCTTCTGCAGATAATCAAACACGGTTGAATACTGACCTTATGTAATGTTTTATTGCTTCAGTGCCAAGGATAACCCTTGACTTTCTCACTGTCTTTGGATAAACACCGACCAGAAGGTCATCAATCATGATGGGCAGTTCAAGTTTAATGATTTATGTTTTTCGTTTGAATCACGTTTACTGCCCAGGGGTTAGTTTTACTCAACTAGACGTAAGACAAGATATAAGATATAATATAAGATATAATATAATATAATATAATATAAGATGTTTAACTGTCTGGGATTTGCCTGTTGGGTTGGGTATGATGATAATAAGGCCTAGAGTGTCCAATCATTAATTGGTTGCCTCTTACCGTCTTTTATTTATATTTACCATCTTGTTAGTAAACATTTTAAGTGTTAAAAAATCTCAACCAAGATTAGTCATACACCGTATTATAAAAAGACTTAAGTCTATGCCCAAAGTAATTAACTACATCTGCCTTTTAAAAGTTTTAGTTTATTATCTCTCACTTTTGGGTGAGTCGGTAGTAGTGATGGTCAAAACAATAAATTTCAAATCTCAATACCGAAACCGAAACTTAAAAAAATCGAATCCCGAACCTCGAATCTCAAAACCTAAACGCGAAACTTTTTTACTTAGCTGGTTACAAAAGTCAATGTTACAAAAAAATACAGATAATCATAAAATTTTAAGTATGCAATCAAAACTGAAAGAGATCGACTTCTGACCGTGGCATAACATAAATATGTGAATGTGACTGATAATCTTAAAACCCAATACAACATAATTTTTCATAAACAACCAACAAAAAAAAACTAACTATCTAACACCAACATAAACACGAATATTAGATTAATTAGAACATTTGGTGGTCAATATTTCTTTGTGTTTAGAAAATATTGATGTGAAACTGAATATTTAAGATACCTTTTGAAGTTCAGAATAAAATTTACTTGTTTCATACTGTTAATGGTGATGTTTGCTCCGTTTCTACCAGCTTGTTTGGAAACAGCATTGAAAACAATAACAATGGCAAAAAAATGTCAGCAGTTCAAAAAATAAAACTGCCAAAATCTTCAATTTCGAAACTTTTGAATCTCGAAACTTGGTGATTGAATCTCAAAACCAAAACTTTTCCTAAGTTTTGATGGTTTTGAGATTTGAGATTTGAGATTCGGTGTTGACACATCACTAGTCGGTAGTTTCCATACACTTCAGGCCCAAGGCAGCAATGTTGTGTGTTCAGATCCTGGTACCAGCCCCAAAAAAATAATAAAAAAATTCTAATATGTTTTCTAACAATATTGTTTGAGTTAACAAAGCGCTATTTCTGTCATAGAGCTACAATATGATCGGAGTTATTGGATCTACACTGAAGTGCCTTGCAGTTGTGTCGGAAGTTTTGAGGAACTCATTTGGGGACATTATTGAGTTTGTTCTTGAAGAGCTTTAACTTTTACTTTGTGTTTGACTGATTCACAAGTTTAAATCAATTGATATTTTTTATATTAAGCTTCAACTGTCTCAAAAATTAGTAACTGACTTATTGGAAAATGATGTTTTGATAATCATCCTTTATTTTGTTTTGTCACTGTCTTACATTAGTCTGCAACATAAAAACTAGTCTGTAAATAAAAGTTGGGTTAAATGACAGTATTTATATTACCTGTATGATATTTATATGTTGGTGCAATATGATCAAAGTTATTGTAATCATTTCTTAGAAGATTCGTAACTGATAATTATTATAAACATCAAAGACTAAAATGTCTAGCTTCCTTTGTGATATTGAATATTAAGTAAATACTGATGTAATGTTTTTATTTCTTTATACGGACTTTATTTAGTGATAAAATAAGAGATATTCAATGTGTAGTATAAAAGATGTGATTTAATGTCATTTTAGAATTAAGTAAGTAAAATAAACAGTTTTTTCTTAACTATTTTAAAATGCAAACCTGTTTCTTTGTCAGGAGTAACTTAGTTACTACTCTGTTATTGCGTATCCCTGTCATCTGAACTTTAAATAAAAAATAAAAACATTCATTATTGTCTATTTCATTGCCAAGTAGTTTTACACTTTTAAATAATTTTGTATTAAATTTATTTGAAAACTTCAGCTGTAGCTTTAATGTTTTTATTTATTGCTCCTAAACAAACAAAATTGGTACGGCAACGTTTTCTTGTCTATGGTAAAAGGTAGGGATGGACGGGATTGAATTTTTAGTTCGGGACGGGACGGGACGGGATTTTTATTTCCTTCCCAATTTTCGGGACGGGACGGGACGGGATTTTTTTCTGTGCATAAAAAGAAAGTACTGTATTGCAGTTACCAAAAAAAGACATACGAAATCAATTTTTACCATTTGTGGCACTGATCTATAAAAACCAAAAAATGGGTAACAATTTACAGGTACCTATAGTAACTTGTGACTCGCGGGTCACGGGGTGATCGTCTGTATGACTCACGGTCACGGCGAGATCGTCGTCATGACTCGCGATCACGGCGCGATCGTCGGTATGACTCGCGGTCACGACGCGATCGTCGTCATGACTCGCGGTCACGGCGCGATCGTCGGTAGGACTCCGCGGTCACGGCGCGATCGTCGGTATGACTCCGCGGTCACGGGGTTATCGTCGGTATGACTCGCGGTCACGGCATGATCGTCGGTATGCGAACACGGCTCGATCGTCAGCATGACTCCGCGGTCACGGCGCTTTCGTCGCCATGACTCGCGGTCACGGCGCGATCGTCGGTATGACTCGCGGTCACAGCGCTATCGTCGGTATGACTCGCGGTCACGGCGCGAACGTCGGTATGACTCCGCGGTCACGGGGTTATCGTCGGTATGACTCGCGGTCACGGCGCGATCGTCGGTATGACTCCGCGGTCACGGGGTTATCGTCGGTATGACTCGCGGTCACGGCATGATCGTCGGTATGACTCGCGAACACGGCTCGATCGTCAGCATGACTCCGCGGTCACGGCGCTTTCGTCGCCATGACTCGCGGTCACGGCGCGATCGTCGGTATGACTCGCGGTCACAGCGCTATCGTCGGTATGACTCGCGGTCACGGCGCGAACGTCGGTATGACTCCGCGGTCACGGGGTTATCGTCGGTATGACTCGCGGTCACGGCGCGATCGTCGGTATGACTCGCGATCACGGCTCGATCGTCAGTATGACTCCGCGGTCACGGCGCGATCATCGTCATGACTCGCGGTCACGGCATGATCGTCGGTATGACTTGCGGTCACGGCGCGATCGTCGGTATGACTCGCGATCACGGCTCGATCGTCAGCATGACTCCGCGGTCACGGCGCGATCTCATGACTCGCGGTCACGGCGCGATCGTCGGTATGACTTCGTCTCCTGCGTTCGCGGACCTACCGCTCGCAATAACGGCGTTATCGGCACTCGCGAAGCGGAAAAATCGCCGACGATCGGACCAAATCCCGTCCCGAAAAATTCCCGAGTCAAATGTAATCCCGTCCCGATAATCGGGAATATTTTTTTCCCGAAAAATTCCCGAAATTTCGGGACCCGTCCATCCCTAGTAAAAGGTACTGTAAATATTATTTAGATTTTTGTGACAATATAAATATACAGAAGTACAGGTATAAGTTTTGATTTTTTTGTGAGTGTAGAAAAATATCTCTCACATCTGTTACAGTAGTCTAAACTGCTAGTCAATTTGACGCCCTTATGTGCTTAAAAAATTATTTTAAATTTAAGTAGAGTTTCAGGTTGATTGCAACATTAAAAGATTGCTGATTGGTTAACCAATATGACTTTATTTTATTAAGTAACTCCCAAAATTATCTAAACAATTAAAGGACCATGGATTAGTACCTACATACAAAATTTCATCAAAATCAGACTATAGTCAAGTCAAGTCAAGTCAAAATTATTTATTCCATAAAATAAAAAACAATATTACAATACATTGTAAGTAAAAGGAATTATTCCCCCGAATAGACTATTGATCCGTGATCGGGGGAAGAGTTAACAATATCATCAGTCTATGGGTATTGTAAAATTGTTCGAGTCACTGCACTTTTTTATTTTAAGCATATAAACTAAATAAATCTAAGCTCTAAACTAAATAACTGTATTTAAAATGCTAACAAAATTTCTAAAATGAGGTGAATTACTTTTTAACATTAAACACAATGTCGCACTTCGCACTACCCTGTACAAGACTCAGCCCATTGTATTTATTCCAACACAATGGGCTGAATCCCATACAGAAACAATATGGATTACAATGTTTTACAGGTAAAATAAAAAAAAAATATATAAATATAAAAAATGTGATCGATAGGTGTGGTCTGTAGCTCTGTACAAATCCACACATACAGACATAGACACACACACACACAGACATCACTTCGAAAAACACTTTTGAGTCCAGTTGGACCCAAAAGGGATATATCCACTAAAAACTCAATCTCAAAAATTTTGACAAAAATAATACTTTCTCCATATAATTTACTATAGGGGGTGTGGGGAGTAAAAAGTGCTGAAAAATCCAAAAATAAATAAAAACTAGTCTCTCAGCAAATGTTATTTTAAAAGAGATATTGAGGTTTTAAAATTAATAACCGATTGTGTATATCAAAACATCTAACCCTTTTATCTTGCTTAATGTTCCTTCAAAATTGCTTCAGTTCATTCATCGAGTCTCAGAATGATTACATAAATATGAATTACCACATTGGTCTTGACTTGACCGAGTCATTGACCTGTTATCACCACCCTGGGTCTGGCATACCCCCATGAGCATGCTTGTGTTACCACTACCAGTACTGTGTTCATTGGGGGGTCTAGTCTACCCCCGTGCGCATAGTAGTTTCTCAGTTTTATTATCATATTTATTTATTTAGTTTTAATAACTTTATAATTTTGATAGTATTGAAAGTTTGCCAAAAAAACATGGTAGTATTTGTAAACCAATTGGATGGAAATGTCCAACCATAGAGTCCACTGATCTAGCCTCCCAGTAATAAGGCGCGGTGCACCGTCTGCCTTGGTTAAAAAGGAGCCAAGACCAAATTTATGTATAAAACCTTTAAAAAACTAATGAGCCGGGAAAAAATGTAAAATATTTGTGAAGTGTGTTTAAAAGGACTTTAAACCGACCTCTGGTCGAGGATTTTTAAAGAAAAACACACATTACCAAAAAAATGTTTAATTTCTTTTAATTTCTACAAACCGGGTATGTATTAATTCATGAAATATTTACTACTTCCATGGTTTTTGACAAGTATTATACTTTTGCAAAATTTAAAATAATATTTGTTTGCAATAAAAACTTTTTAACTACGATTTTACCCTCTTCAACACCATTATTACATTTCATCATGAAAAAATTAAGGGTTCAAATTATTATTTTCTAAATAGTTAAAGGATATGGAAGGATCATAAAATGTATGTAACAAAATGAGAAAATGAATATAGATATGTCTAAAGTTTAAAGAGCTAAATATAAAAAATTAATTTATAAACCCATTTTTATTTGAGGGTCCAGTAAAACCCCTGCGTGTGCTCCAGCGTAAAAAAAAAGAGTGTGCACGCTTAAGGGTTAAAGTCATGGCAAAGGTAACTTTTAAGGAAAATTTCTTCTTTATAGCTAATCGGATATTATTTGAAACATGTATGTCTGTTTACCGTACCTTAATAATAAATTAATTTAATATTTTTTCTAAGTACAAATAATTACAATACGAATACATAATGATAGAAATATTCACAAAATTGTGAAAAACTTTTATTTAATAACTATAAGAAAATCCTGAAAGTAAAACATAATAGTTTATTCATATTGAGAATATACTGTACATAAATTAAATAGTTAGTAACTTACTCTACAATTCATCTTTGGTATAAGTATTTTGAAGAAAAGATTCAAGTTCGTCAAAATTTATTGAATCCCAAAATTCTCTGTTGCCCAACTGTGCGGCGGACTGACTTCTTATGTCCTTACTAGAGTTGATCAACAAGTATTTGAAGTTCCCTGAATTTCTTAAAACTGGTTCCCATACAACATCTTCTCCTATAGAAGGTTTTCCGGATTGAATAAAACTGGCCCAGATTTCTGTCATTTTCATCATTACCTCTTTATCCTCCTGGATTTCTAATGGTGTCAAGATCGGCCGATTAAGTATATATATCAAATCGTCACCATGGCTTACTCCATAGGTCACATTTAACTTGGAGATAAAAATAGAAATACTGTATTTTCCTTGATATGCAAATTCATAAAAATACACGGGAGATTGATTTACTTCTGCTTGTAACCGTGATGCTTTTTCCATATCCACATTGAACAACCTATCTCCTATCAGCTCGACAAGTTTGTTTCGATTTTGAATTGATACTTGATCACCCTTAAAATAAAACTGTCTAATTTTGTCACTTACACTGTTAATATCAGCTGATGGAATAGTGAAGTTAAAGTCCAAGATGTGAGGTACTATCTGGTTCCAGTTATCATTTAATTCATTGAGAAGTTCTTCCCGATCGATAAACCTAGCAGCAGGGTAAAGTCCTTCGTCCTTTGTAATACTGGTCAGCCAAGGAAGATCTGCCACTTTTCCTTCTGAGATAAGTTTCAAAGGGTGTTCGGACAAGTATGGATTCTTCCCAGAAGTCTCTACTACAACTCCAAAAGGAGAGAAAGGAAGGGTTCCCCAAGGCCAGAACAAGGACTTTAACTGTGCAAGTATTTTCCGTCCTGGTCTCCTCTTCAAACAATTGATCATTTGTTTAGAAGTGTCAATTGGACACCCAACAGACAACGCAAGTTGTTTTGCCTTCTCTGCCGACTTTTCAGCCAACACCCAAGGATTCAAGGCACATCCGCTCATGGAGATTCCTTTCTGGAACAATCCTGTAGTCTGAGGGGAGAGGTAATGCAGATGCACACTGGCTCCGCCAGCAGACAACCCTGAGACAGTAACATCATCTTTGTTACCTCCGAACGCAGCAATATTTTGATTCACCCACTTCAAAGCCAATGCTTGATCCTTAAGCCCATTGTTCCCAGGGACGATTTCATCTTCGGTGCTCAAAAACCCAAAAGGGCCGAGTCGATAGTTGACTGACACGTACACAAAGTCAAATCTGTCCAGGATAAAATGAGGAGTGAAAATGTGCCCGGTTCCATACATAAACGCTCCTCCATGGAAATAAACCACAACTGGAAGATTTGACGAGTTGGATAGTGCCGGGATGTAAATGTTCAAATACAGGCAGTCTTCTTCTCCAGTTATCAAATCTGGACTGTCATAGTTCAACATATGCTGCAAACAAACGGAACTGTGTTGAGTGGCTGGGTAAATACCTTGCCATTTCTCAGCTGGCTTGGGCTCCTCGAACCTGTTCTTGCCCACAGGTGGTTTGGCATAAGGCACTCCAACAAACTTGTAAATCTTCTTCCCCAATGTGGTTTGGTCCTCCACTCCTTGTAAAGCACCTTGGTCCACTTGCACTACTGGATATTCCAATGCTTTGACATGAAAAGTAGATAAAACAAACACAACAACGTATGCTAACAGCATTCTTAGACACTGGCTTCAAACAGAATGAGCTGAATTAGTGGTACTTATTTTATCTGTAGTCAAAAGTCAAGAGAGATTGATAATGAGTGACTTATCTCACTAATTAATACAATCAGTTTCAGGATTTAGATAAAAAAACACAGCTTTGAGAATTACTAAATGAAATAACAAATACATTGGGTTGTTAAGCAGCAATCTCTTAATGTTGTAAATTTTGAAATCCCATTTAAAGTAAATTTAACTTTTCTAGCACATAAGTACTAGTACTAGTAGGCTTGTAGCATTAAGTAGTCCCTTATAGCATTAATGACAGCATTTGAGAGCACAGGCGTTTGATTGTGTTGATTTTAAAATTCTTATAAACAAATTAGTAATTACGAAGTTATGGGTTTCGAGGGCCGTCTCTACAATTCTTTTCATCTTACCTAAACAATCGTAAACAAATAGTAAGTATTAACGGCAATACGTCACAAGAAAAGAATGTAAAATGGGGCGTTCCCCAAGGCTCAGTCCTTGGTCCACTTTTATTTTTAATTTATTTTAATGACCTTCCATTGTCAGTAAAGAGTCAAACTATTTTTTATGCTGACGATACAACATTTTTTCATGTAAACCCCAACCTAACAGAACTAAAAATTCTTGTCCATGAAACAAAGCTAAAAGCATCAAATTGGTTTAATGCGAATGGATTTTTGCTTAATGACGAATAAACCCAAAACATGATTTTTACACTAAAACAAATCCCCACTCTCTTAGTGATCTAAATAATAGCACAGCTGTAAAATTTTTGGGCCTTCAAATTGATAATCAACTCACATGGAATGCTCACATAGATTATTTATCTTCAAGATTGTCTCGTGTGGTGCATCTTTTAGATCGTCTTGTAAATCAGGTTCCTAAGAAATATGTAAGGACGGCCTATTTTGCGTACTTCCAGTCAGTCAATCATGAGATACGGATTGGTGCTTTGGGGTGGTAGTGGTAGAATAAAAGAAATTTTGATTCTCCAAAAAAGGGCTTTAAGAGCTATGACAGGGACGCGCCCTGATCATTGCAAACCTCTTTTTATAGATATGCAAATTCAAACTGCAGTAAATTTGTTCATTTATGATCTGATTGTTTATATAATTAAAAAACCCTGAATATCTTCAATTTAATAATCACAGTCACAACACTCGTTTTAAAAATACTGCGCTGTTAGAATCCCATCGTCTTAGTAAAACTAGTATTTGCCACATAATTTTATCAATTAAAGTGTATAATTCAGTAAAAAATAATATAAATTTTCATTCAATTAACAAATTTAAGGCTATGTTTTATAATTATCTACTTCAGAACCCTTTTTATAGTCTGGATGATTATTTTAAACTGGGAGAAATTGTCCTTTAGTTTGGTTTTAATTTCAGTTAAGAATATGAATGGAGTTGAATGTTAATTGTAATATTTGGCCTGTAAGAGTATTATGTTGTTTATGTTAAAACTTGGTTTGAAATCTGCAAATAGACTTTGTCAATGATATGTAAATGTATCCTTATGGCAAATAAAGATCGATTGATTGATTGATTGATTGACAAGACAATGTTAACCAGTGTGACAGAAAGATAAACAGGGTGATACTAGATTCCACAATAATCCCTTGGTATATGATTCTACAGCTAAATATTAGAAAAAAATGATTATATACTTGAGTTACAGCTGGTTAAATATGTCACCAATGGGCAAACTTTATTAAGTTATAGCATAGATAAAACATACTCCCTTAGTAGATTTCTCATCCTTATGGAACAGCTGAAGACAATTTTATTGTTAGTTCATGTACGGTTTATGTAGAGGTCGTGTTTTGTTTACAATTTGTTTTCCGTTATTACAGCCATTTAAAACCTCGTTTAGCCAAATAATACGATCTAATCATAAACAATAACTTGTCCCCTAGTTATATAACAAAACAGTAAAGCAGAAATCAAGAAATTAACCTAAAATAATTGAAACAAAGTTTCATCGACACTAGCGCCTTTGTGTCACGTACATGAACTAGACACAAAAAACGTGCTTCAAAATTTACAATGGGATGAGAAGTCTACTTGTGTTGGTTAGTCTATGGTTATAGGTACTAAAATGCCAAAATGAAGAATTGAGGATAACTTTTAATGTTTCAAATGTAAAAAATGGATCCCAGAGTATTGCTTATAGTTTTAAAGAAAATTACATCAAAACATAAAAAATAGGTGCCAAAAATAGGTGCCAAAACTTTGTTCAAGTTTAGCTGTAGTACTTTTCAATTGCTCGGATTTGAGCAACAGGTGTGCTAGTGTTATTAAATAGCCCTCAACGATTTTATTCATTATAATACACTCAACTGACATCCTCACAATAAAGTAAAATAGATAAGTATGTAATTTTTCATAGAAAAAAATAAAAATATTGTTTAGATTTCCATATTATTACCATAAACAATATAAATGTCACAAGCACAAGGCAAAAATTCAAACACGTAAATTTTACCCTAAATCACACAACGAAGTGCGTGTATTGCAGACTTGTTAATCAATTGTTGATATGAAACAACTGTTACATCAGATTCGTCTTGACTTATCAGTTTTACTGTCTAACATTATGAGACTTGTCACTCTCTTAAGCTGTGTGATCACTGTGGCTTGGTGTTTTGTGCCGACCTCAATCTACCTCCAAGCCATAGACAGAATAATTCAGAAGTTATCGGACGAGTTGGAACTCGATGATTACCAAGTGCTCTGTGAGAACGTAGAATGTTACAACGAGCATGCTGCCAATTTCTTAAAGAGACTTAGAGCAAAAGACCCAACATTTAGAAGCATCGCGATAGAGCATTGCCGCAAAGGAGAACCAGCGTTTCCAAACTTTATAAACATTCACGCTTACCAACTGAATGTAGGGTGGAACGATACAATGGCTGCTCACATGTTTAAACTATGCAGCGAAACTCGTGACTTGTGGTTTGCCTTTGAAGAAATTTGTGAAAAAAAGGAATATGAAAAATATCTGGACAAATTTAGTCCAGATTTTTAAGTAGGAGATAGAAAAGTGAGTTAAGTGTTACCTGAAAATAAATTATTGTGTAGTAGTTATTAGTTAATCTTAACATTTTGTTTGGCATCAGTATACTTGTTTAAAGATTCTTACTATTCTTAATAACTGCAATTAAGGAGGAGAAGTGTAAATAATTTTACTGTAGAAACATTTAATAAATAAAATTTTAATTTATTGACGCTAATAGTAACAATACAGGATACAATATATTAAATGATACGAAATAAGTTATCATTATGATAACAATTGACGATAAAAGCTATATTTACTCGGCTATAAGCATAACAATAGACTAAAACTGAAAACACAACTATTCTATCCGTATAGAACAATCTGTTTCATTAACAATAACTTTGGCAACGGGCACTGCGAAGGCTTTGTACATGGTATTACTGTTTCCAAAAAGCGAAGGCCTTTTGGAAGTTTTCACTTTTGCCGAATAGTTTAGCGTCCTTTTGTAAAGTGGGAGAAGGCGCTTTGGCGGGCTCACTGTCGAGTCTTAAGCTATTTGTCGTTCGTTTCTTGGCAGCGACTGAAACATTAGAGGCTTTGCCGTTAACACCGTCACACAGTTTGTTAACAGTCACACCGTGCTCAGTTAGTCTACAACTACTAAGGTCGTGCTCGGGCTCTTCGCAAATAGAGTATTTCTTGTTGAGGAGATGGCAGGGAGTGGTGGGGGTAGCCGAGGTGTTGATACTGCTACAGTCACTGATGCCACTGTCACTGCGCTCACTGCATACTCTGCCCCGTGCTCGGTCACGGTCGCCCCTCCCCTCCTCGTCCAGGCTAGACAGACGTGAGGCAGCCAGGGAGGGGCGGGGGGAGGGGGGCGTGCTGGTGCTAGAGTTGCGTCTACTAGCCGCAGACAGTGTTGCCATACGTCCCAGCGCCCGGATAGCATTCCCTGTCTTCTGCAAATCACACACAACACGACCATGCGGATTAGTACACACAAAAGCCACACAAGCTTGGTAAAAAATTTTAATGTTCAAGAAATACAGGGAAAAATCATATGTTAACTATAGGTAGGAGGGTAAATTCAAAAAGGTAAAATCTATTTTGATTAAAATCCACACAATGGTAAAACAAACACATAGTTAGCAGTAAGCACAAATCAATGAAATCGAAAACCACACAACTATTCAAAGCTCAATTTTTTACAGTGATACATCAAACTAAGGCCATTTATTAAACTTTATGTAACTCCGACATTAAAAGATTTACCAAATGTAAACATCATTGTATAACATTTCAAACTTAATCTTTTACTTATTTTTTTTCAAATTTTATATCTGTGAAATTAATTTTAAAGAAAAAAAATTCTTGGGGGCTCCAAGTGAAACTCCTTCTCAGGAAGGGACCCCCGGAGACCGCCATGTCCGCCACTAGCGAAATACGGCCCTGAAGATTATGATAAACAATAATCTGTCTTCCTTAACAGCCTAATAATGTAATTAAGCATGGAAATGGAAATATGTATCAGGAGATAGCTAACCTGCCACTTCCTCCTGATGATGAACTTCTTGAGTTTGTCTGTACACAGCTTGACACTGTTCATAGTTGTGTCACTTTGTGTGAGCCACTTGTGCTTTAGACATTCCTCTGCTGTTAGTCTCTTCCTGCAACACCACAAACTACTTAGTAAGATCTCGGAATAGCTGGCTGGACTCATGGTGAGACAATAGACTACAAGAATGAACTGTACTTATAAAATAGTTAAGTGGTGGCAACAAGACACATAACTAGTACAATATCACGGTTTTACAGTCTTGCAAGGTTCTCTTACATTTTAGACATTGGTTGTAACTCAATCTGTCTTCGCCATCCCTACATCAGTGAATATGCATTCATGCATATCTAATAAACCTCATGAATTCCTTTAGGTTTTTAGATAATCCACTCCATTTTACATTCATGTTTTAAAAGAAAGCAATGCATTTTAGTGACAGTAAGACTCAAATCATCATTGCACACATTCTGGAGTATAAATTATTTTTATTAAAATTATTTTATTAGGTCAAGTAAAAAAAATTCTATTGAACGATTTACAAAATAAACAATTAAAAAATATGGTGATGGGGAAATCAAAACATTTCTTTACTGAAATACAAATAATTAACTATAGTAAACTATGCATAGCTTACTCTTTTCTCTTGATAAGAAGTGAACTGATGAAGTCTTTAGCGTCTTGGGAGATGGCTTCGAATGCTTCGTCGTCAAAGTCGAAGTCGGCCCGAGTGATGTTGGCAAATGTCTCAGCGTCGTTATCCCCCATGAAGGGTGACAGCCCTGACAGTCTGAGGGTGTAAAGTGTTCTATGAGTAGTTGATATAAAAATAGCATACATTTTAAAAGGCTAACAATATATGTCAATAACTAAACATGTTAAAACCTCTCAATTCAACTTGTATTTATTTCTTATTTGTTTTTTTGAACTATTACATATTTTTTTAACTTTCTTGAAGGTGGAAGGGGAAGGAATATCTAAGTTTCATTTTATGGGTGGCATGATGATCTACAAGAATGAACATTGTTACTCCATTGTTGTTAGTACATTGTTTTCTCATTGTTCTGTGAAGTCAAGGAAGTAGTAGGGACTTGAAAAGGAATTTAGTAAGTGATATCATGGTTTGAAAGACTAAAACTAAGTCTGTTCCTAAACAAAGAAAAAAAACCATTCTAGCCCTCCCCCTAAAATACATATATGATATTAAGGAGTATCCTTGGATATTTAAACATAAAATTTAATGTAAATGCTTAAGAACATGAGAGCAGATTATTCTATCCACTCACAGGACATAGCAGATGACCCCCACAGACCACATGTCGGACTCTACACCAATGGGTTCGTAGTTGATGATCTCAGGAGGAATGAACTCGGGAGTTCCAAACAACACTCGGACCGGAGTGTTGGACTGGAGCTTCTGTGCGAGGCCGAAGTCGATGATCTTGACACGATGCGACGTCCTTGTGTGACACATGATGTTCTCTGGCTGTGGGATTACAACCAATATCAGAGGAATATCTGACTAGAGAACATTTAAAATCATACATTAACTTTTAGGATGTACGGTCTTTTTGGGGGAACTTGTAAAGGTAAACAAGATAAAAGTGCTATGAGTCAGAGTTGGCTTTACATTGTATTAGTTCCTCACACAGGCTAGAAGTGACTTTTCCATCTTTGCTCATTTTCTAGACAAAAAGAAATGTTGACCCATTGATTTCAGGAACAATTAGGGATTTGACTATGCATATTTCTATCATGTTCTTTTTTCATCTTATGAACACAAAACTTAAAATAATTTTGAAACAAGTTTTTAGTAAACACAAAAAAAGTAAGGGGGATGCAGGCCCGCAGTTTTCATAGAATGCGCTATGGGCCCAAGAGATGATTTCGCTCCTCTCCACCTACCTTGTTTCTCTCATTTAGTTTTACTCGCTAAATAGCTGTAAGTCAAAGTTTGGTTAGTTCAGATACTCTTGTCTCTGACATACCAGCCTTTGTAATTGGTTGTGATAATGCTATCCAACCCTACAACGTACCTTAAGGTCTAGATGAACAACTTGGCAGGTGTGCATGTATCTGACGCCTTCACAGATCTGTCGCAGAAACAGTATACAATCTCTCTCTGTGAGTGTGAAGTCATCAGCCACAACTCTCTCAAACAACTCACCTCCGGAGATGCTGCACAGAAAGAGGAAACATTGTCATTTGTTAACATAGGGGACCATAATTATCGTAGGAATAGACTTACATGAATGGGAAAGAGTCCATCCTAGCATAATAATTGCAACAAATTTTACTTTAAAAGGTCGATGAAGGTATATGCATAAATATTTGACATGGTCAATAATTTTATTTAAGTTACCATTTAAGAATATGTTTTCTGTTCACTCAGGTGTATAGGTATGAACGATGAGGTGAACTTCTAATTATTAGGGTATAACTGATGGTTTGATGAAACACAAGGTCCAAAAACCATTATATTTTTAACACCTTGTTCAGAAGACAAACACTCACTATTCCATGACCATGACCATGTCCTTGGGGTTGTCAAAGGCCGCAGCAAGTTGCAGCAGCTTGGGATGCCTCAGACAGTTCATTATGTCTATCTCCTCCTGTACTTTCTCTCTGTCTTGCTTCTTGATGCAGCGTACAAACTTGGCAGCCATCGTGTGGCCTGTCCGCAGATCTGTTACCTACGGAAAATAACAATTATTAGTATGGCTTTTAAGTGTGTGAGTTCCCTAATACAAAAGTTCTTCTTGTCTTAGGGATCTCATATTTATTATTTTCTAGGTAGGTTGACCTATAGCATAAAGGGGGTACCTGAACCACTGAAACATGGCATTATAACATAGCTAGCATTGATGATTGGCAGGGCTTGAACATAGAGCTCTAGGACCGAAGCCTACACTTTAACTACTAAACCAGCAACACCTCTACCAAATGAATTAAATTAAACTCTAAACTAATTTTCTACAGTCAAAAAGGACTGTCAAATTTTGGTCTGCAGAAAATAATCAGTTGAACAGTTGAATAATTGTAGCTTGCCCCAAGAAGGATTGCTGCAACACATTCAAAATTTCAACTAGTGACCAGTTAAACCACGGTGTCATCTCCTAAAGACGAGGAATCTGTTGCATTGTATCTGTACATGTTCGATATTTAAATATCGATATTACGTAATACAGCAGAGTTCCAATCAATGTTAATTGGGACCAACCTCTGTTTCATTAAAAATACAAAATAAGCTGAGTTTTATAAAATAGTCATATATTGACTTGCTCAAAAGTCTTGAGAACAAGCGGTTGTACAATAAGACTTATTGATTTAAGATGAGTCTCGCAAAAATAAAAATCAGCAGAATATATTCTTAAGATAAAGATTTTTAAATCAAATATTCCAATAACACTACCTTGTGGACGACCCCGTATCGGCCCTTGCCCAGCTCCTCATGTACAGAGTAGCGTTCCAGGAACTCATCACCAGGCTGAGGGACTACCAACCTCTCCTCTACAACTGTCTCTGTCTCGCCCTCTCCTTCACCTTCGTCTTCCCGCAAACCTGGGAAATAGTTTACTAGAATTATTCCACACGGATACACTAAAAGTGTGTATTTTAAAGTGAAGCGTGATGGATGAATTTTCAATGAATGAGAGAATAGGTTTATTACTGGCTAAGACCAGATAATTAGTTAGGTAGGATCATTAAGGACCATAAAAGCCCTATGATCTTAAAAACAACTCTGGGGTCCAGTCCTATCAGGAACAAAGTCAGTCAAATTTTTTACAGCTCCTAAGCTGTAAAAAATTTCACTGACTTTGTTCCTGATAGAAATGACAACCTTCTAGTTACTAAGATAGCACTATGTTTACTCAGCTACAGTTCGGAATCATAATAAGGATACAGTTTTGATTATATAAACATTCAGAAGTTTTGAAAGGTTTCTGAAAACCTAAACAATATTACTAAAATTAATTCATAAACAAAAACACATTTAAAGCCTTAGTCCATTGAAAGAACTAGACATTCAAATGCCATGTTAAAAGCTGAAGCAAATTTTAGAAAAGAAATTAAATAATTTAGTAGAACTGAGCCACCAGAAGAGTGTGCTGATATAAAATACTGATTAATGTTGAATTTGCCGATTTATTAATTAAGTCAAACTGATAGAACAATACCAGTAGTTGGTTTTCTTTGTAAACAATAGCACCTTTCATGTCACATAAACTATTGTATATCGAGAGGAGCAAATTCTGTCTGTGTTTTGAATGTCTACCTAGCTATGTCTACAAAGTACCTGTGTGGGGCAACTGTAGTGTGAAGGGGAAGGACTCAGCGCTGCTCTCACTGGCTCCGTGGATGTTCTCTGCTCTCACCCTGAACAGATAAGTCTGTCCTGGAGTCAGTCCTCGGACCACATGTGACAGTGAGTGGCATCTAGACAGAAGACACAGAGGGTGTTAGATCAGGCTTACGTTTTACCCGTTACCGACAGTAATAATCCAAGGCATGTAAAGAAGATGCATCGGAGATGGTGAATAACTTAAGACCTAGGCTAAGTTAATTTCAGACAGTTATTAGGCAAATAAAACTACTAATTTACAATAAATTAAATTTAGTGGATGTTGGCTGTGTATTTATACAAAAAATTGTTATTTACCTACCTCGATCAGGTTACAATCATAATAACAATAGCCTCTTAGTTACAAACCTAACTGTTGAGCATTAAACTTGAGGAACAGCTGTTAAATTAGAATTCACATTTAAAACCGATATAATTAAAGAAAGTTGGTCAGAATCTCTAGATATTTGAAAGTGAACTCTAAAAACAATTGAAACGCTAGCCAGACAAAGACCTAAAGGAAATGGCCTTTTTAGTTACCACTATCCCTTCGCTAGATCATAAGCTTTACAATGACACATCAATCGTAAAATCGGTTAAGTAGGGCAGGTGAAAAAGGGATTATCTAGGTTACGTACCTTATGCAGTCAAAACAGTTCTGATACAGTCACTAAAGGACGATGCGCATTTCAGAGCTTTTAAGCTCTATCTTCAGGTCCGTGGATACATTTTTGTCAATTCATCTTGCAGATTCGTCAAAATATTTAAACATTAAAAACACATAACACAAACACATAATTCATTACGTTTATACAGGTACTGTACATGTGCCGGCCGGCTATTAGTGCGTGGAACAAGTGTAAAAATCTTTCACTTCCGGAGACCAGCACCATACTTTGGGAATCGACTAAATACATGTGAAAGAGTGAAAATCAGCCGGGAGGCAAGCTTTAAAATAATTAGGTCACGGGCAGTGACGTCATCAAAATGGCCGCTCAGCCAATAACAATAATGTCGCATATCTCGTAAACCGCGTAACCGATTTTGACGTATGACATCTTATTTGAAAGGTCTAATCATTATCTATAAAAAAGGTTATTACACCTTTAGCGGTTAAACCAACGGTTTCTTTGTATTTTAGAAAATATTAATTTTTTACGCCCCACAAAATGGATTTTTGCATTTATCATTTGGAAAAATTAAAATAATCAAAATTTACTTTCCACCGTTGAATCCAGCTTTAAAAGATGAACAATTTAGTATTTTGAATCATCACTCTATGTATATTGGTTACCGAGATATTGTAAGTGGTAAACACAGAACACTCTGTCCTCTATGTTATTCTTATGGGAAAAATAACATACTTTATCTCAGCTATTTTTTAACGTATCTTAATAGAACTTGGTATGTGGTTTAACCTAGTTGAGCTACTTGATAATGACTATAAAATATTTATATTTTACATTTACATAGCAGCAAACCTACATACTCATTTCCCATATTATTCATATGGCAAATATTTATGCATGATTATTTATGAACATTGTACCGTACTTTCTCAGCTTTTCCTTACTTTACAGCTTTAGACCTTTTCGGGAGTTTTCAGGACTCAGATTTACTGAACACTTGTAGGAATTATATGATACATTTATTATTCTCAGAACTGTTTACAAAAACTATTGACAAATGACTTCTACTTCGAAACCCCATAGACCAGCGCAATCTATTAGGCGGTCCCTTGACCTCTTGGTCGATCGGCTCGAGACCCCTCTGTCCTGTTTTGCTATCCTGGGTTCCCCACGTTGGTTCTCCTTCCTGACGCTGTCCCGTCGGCTAATCCTATCGACACGGCTCCTGCAGTCCTCAACTGGCTCCGTCTCGGAAAATACTGAGTGGGTTACTATCCCAAACGCAGCAGCTACAGTCGGTTTTGCCCGTTCCGTTGGCAGATGCAGACTGCCGTCTCTCCCAGACAACTCTTTCTCTTCTTAAATAGTGGAGGTGTGCCTCTTCATCCCCCTCCAGACGAAACCATGGTCCCGGGAGGCAGCTTTTTTGGCCACCGGGGACTTAAACTGAAATAAAACGGATGCCGGGGCTCAACACGCCTCTAGTGCGAGGTGTACCGGGCTCAGCACGCCTCTAGTACTGGGGTGCCGGGGTTTAACACGCCTCCACTGCGGGGGTGCCGGGGCTCAACACGATTCTAGTGCTGGGGTGTACCGGGCTCAGCACGCCTCTAGCACTGGGGTGTCAGGGCTCAGCCCGCCTCTAGTACTGGGAAATGAAATGAAATGAAAAAAGTGCTTTATTGTACAAATTACATAATAGTCTACCTCCATATGTACAACATATACAAAACTAACTTGCACATAAAATAAAATACATAGGTACTGCTAAAATAAAAAACTTAACACTTATTTAAACAATGGTCAATGTTGACCATTACTGGGCGTCTCTAGTACTGGGGTTCCAGGGCTCAGCACGCCTCTAGTACTGGGGTGTACCGGGCTCAGCACGCCTCTAGTGCGGGGGTGCCGGGGCTCAAAACGCTTCTAGTGCATACCCCACCGGTGGCCCCTACCGACGGGGTCGGGCCCGGAGGCCCAACATGTCGAAGTCCCCCGAGAATGCTCCTTATATAGGGTCGTAACCCGTAAGATGCTTGGAGAGTTGGGGTAAGTACCCAGTATCCGCCCCCGGCCGAAAGTACTGGGCACTTGTCCCTAATCACTTTCCCTCAGTACTTTTCCCTCGGGTCACTGAGCACCATTCCTCGGTGCTTTGGTGTTTTAGCCCATATTACATCACCCAACCTTGACCTTCTTAAACACTTCATTACAACATATGCTGTCAAAACTTGACGTTAAGCGTAATTTTAATTAATTATCGAAGTATTTGAAATTCCCTGAGTATGCAAGTTTTTAGTATTTTGCAGGTGGATTTTATATCAAATGGAGTGCAGCTTAATCTTGCCTTGAAATAGTTCGTTCCTCCGTCTGAATTATTTTCGGAATTTGTCTGGGGGAGATTCTCATCCAAGCATATAATATCAAGGCGTGGGTTTTTTCTTAGAAATTGAGACAAATATTTTGACACCTCAAACGTTGAAATTGGTCCACAAATAAGGGAGGAGTAGTGTTAACAAAAACGGCTTCATGTATTATAATTTTTTAATTTGTTAAAGTGAAATAACAGAGACGCCAAGCCGTATTTCATACTATTCTTCAGTTAAATACAAAGATTAATAAACAGTCTAATGATATGTAATAATATGTTTAAGTGAGGAATCCACAGTCCAAAGCCTGAAATGCGCTATTCTTCAGGTAGGGTAGCCACATAAAAACAATTCATAACTATGTTTTGAAAAGCCCAAAAGATTTTTACCAAAAAAAAAATACTATGAATATTATATTCTTCAGGTAACCACTTTAAAAATCTAAACGATCAATAACTATGTTTTAAAAAGCACAAAAGACGTCAAACCCTATATGAAAATTATTAGAAAAATGTAAACTCAAAAGAACAAAAACAACACGTTAATAAGGATTTTATCACGTTTCTTATTCAACAATTGCGACAAATTGCTATCAGATATCTTGTCGGTTATCAGTCTGACCAACCCAGGAAAAAAATATTTCCCAAAATAAAATTACTAATATTTATAAAACCCCCGTTGCAGTAGACCTGCATACTCAGTGAATTTCAAATGCTTCAATAATTAATTAAAATTAAGCTCAACGTCAAGTTTTTGTCAACATATGTTCATAAATAATCATGCATAAAAATTCGCGATACGAATAACATGGGAAATGAGTATGTAGGTTTGCTGTAAATGTAAAATATAAATATTTTATAGTCATTATCAAGTAGCTCAACTAGGTGAAATCACATACCAAGTTGTATTAAGATACGTTAAAAAATAACTGAGATATAGAATGTTATTTTTCCCATAAGGATAACATGGGGGACAGAGTGATCTGTGTTTACTACTTACAATATCTCGGTAACCAATATACATAGAGTGATGATTCAAAATACTAAATTGTTCATCTTTTAAAGCTGGATTCAACGGTGGAAAGTAAATTTTGATTATTTTAATTTTTCCAAATGATAAATGCAAAAATCCATTTTGTGGGGCGTAAAAAATTAATATTTTCTAAAATACAAAGAAACCGTTGGTTTAACCGCTAAAGGTGTAATAACCTTTTTTATAGATAATGATTAGACCTTTCAAATAAGATGTCATACGTCAAAATCGGTTACGCGGTATACGAGATATGCGACATTATTGTTATTGGCTGAGCGGCCATTTTGATGACGTCACTGCCCGTGACCTAATTATTTTAAAGCTTGCCTCCCGGCTGATTTTCACTCTTTCACATGTATTTAGTCGATTCCCAAAGTATGGTGCTGGTCTCCGGAAGTGAAAGATTAATAGGTAATATGTTGCTTGTTCCACGCACTATATAGATCCCGACTGAGGAAGGAGTTGACTTGCTACCCTACCCCCACCTGTTGACCTTGAACTGTTGTTATCTTGGGTCTCTTAGACTGGCTATCATTGATACGGTTAAATAAAACATTGCAGCTGTATTTTAGTTTTTCATTTAACACTTCATTTGGGTTTGATTTAAAAGCGTTGTAAATATGTAGTTCCTCTATTGTTGACATATGTTGTGATTTTTTGCATTTGTAGAGAACTTCTAAGTTTTCATCAACACTTTTTATGTCATGATTACTATTTATCAAATGCTCTGCAAATTTAGATTTTTGGTTCTTTAATGTCGGTTTGGGAAGGTGTTCAGAATACCTTTTTTTGAATGAGCGGCCAGTTTGACCTATGTAAAACTTATTACATTGAGAACATTTTAATTTATAAATTCCAGTATTTTCATTTCTTTTAGTGCTGTGGATATTTAGGTGTTTACTTAATTTATTTGTGGTTCTGCATGAGAGTGTGATGTTTTGTTTTTTCATAGATTTAGATAGTGTATTGTGCAATGATTTTCCATATTCTATTGAGATAAACTTTTTCTGTTCAGGGGGATTGGTTTCAATGCGTTTTTCATTCCTGTTCTTTTTCTTGGAAATTATTTTGTTCACCATTTTACTTTCATATCCATTGGCCACTGCTATGTATTTTATTATATTTGTTTCAGTTTCAAAGTCGTCTGGATCCATGGGTATCGATAACAATCGATGAACCATACTATTGTAGGCCGCTAGTTTATGGGAGATGGGATGGTAAGATGTAGAGTGGATCGTGTGATCAGTAGCGGTTGGTTTCCTGTAAATGGAAAATTTTATATTCTGGCTCTCTTTTGTCAATGTTAAATCGAGAAAATTTATTTTACTTTCTTTTTCTGTTTCCAAAGTGAATTTGAGGTTAGGTGAGATTTTATTTAAATAATTGTTCAAGATTTCTAATTGTCTTGTGTTTCCTTTGTAAAAGACAATGGTATCGTCTACATATCTTTTATACAGTAGTATATTTTTGTAATATTTATTCTTATTTGATAGAATGTGGTTGTTCTCAACATTATTAAGGTATAGTTCGGACAGGAAACTAGATAATGGTGAACCCATAGTGAGGCCATCATTCTGAATGAAATATTTATTGTTATGCTGGAAATAATTCTGTGTTAAAATAGTAGTTAACAGGTTAATACATTCATCTATGGTTTCTCTGTTAATTTCTTGGTTTTTTATCAAATGTTCTTGAACTAATTCTATTGTAGGTGATATGGGCACATTTGTGTACAAATTCACTATGTCAAATGAAGCCATAGTGTATTGGGTTTTCTTATCAGTATTGTTTATTGTTTCCACTAGATCCGTACTATTTTTAATACTGTGGTTGTTGTCTATTGTTATGTTGTCTCTCAAAAACTTATCTAGCTTTTTGGCTACTTTATAAGATGGTGCGGACGTGAAATTCACTAATGGCCTAATGGGCATGTTTTCTTTATGAACCTTGGGAAGTCCTCTCATGGTCGGGGCCCTCGGGTCTATCATTTTTAGTTGTTTGATTTCATTTTTGGAAAAAAGATGTTGTATTTTATTCAAATCATTTAATAAGGTTTTATTAAATTTGTCTGTTGGATCATGATCTAATTGTTCGATATTGTTATTTTCTAAAAATTCATCTACCTTAATGTTATAGTCATGTATATTCATGATAACAATAGATTGGCCTTTATCAGCTTTTGTGGCAATACAATCGCTTTCTTTCAATTTGTCCTTTATACTCTCCAAAGTATTTTTAATGACTTTGTTTGGCAATTTGTTGGCATGTTTAATAATTTAATTAATTAATTAATTAATTAATTAATTTAATAGTTTAATTAATTTGTTTTTAATGTTTAAATATTTTGACGAATCTGCAAGATGAATTGACAAAAATGTATCCACGGACCTGAAGATAGAGCTTAAAAGCTCTGAAATGCGCATCGTCCTTTAGTGACTGTATCAGAACTGTTTTGACTGTATAAGGTACGTAACCTAGATAATACTTTGAATAACAGTTCAGGAGGCAAAATAATGAATAAAAGAAAAAGGGATGTTACAGATATGAGAAACCTTTTATTGTATTAAATATATAGTTGATTACATAACACAAGAGGTTCACAGTGTGGAAATTATCGTAGTTTGAAGACTGACAAAGTTGGACTATATTACAGAAGAGGAGATGATCGTTGTTCAAGACTTTTGTAATATATATACACTATACAGTATAACAAAAATTTCTTCTTACAAACTATTTTAACAGTTTCAACACGATTGAATTCAAATTGGAATAGTTTTATGAATACTGCTTCAACAATACAACAGTACAAAAAACCACTTGAATTAAGAAAAAAATGTTTTACCGCCAAATAAAAAAAAAATTAAATATTAGTGTATTCACCTGTCAGCAACCACATTCCACTGGTGTGACAGAGCTGTCCTCATCTCCACACTGTACCCGGTGATGACACAGCCTCCATCATAGGCGGGGCTGGACCAAGCCACGGTCACACAACCCGGCCCCGCGGCAGAGACACTGGGACGTGCAGCGGGGGCTTCTGGTGGACCTACAACACAGCGGGGCTTTGTATTACTAGCTGAGAACTGATTGATAAGTTTATATTGTGATCTTTTACTGTTCATAATTGGATTGTTGATTCAGTTGAATCCCCCAGTTAGCTAAACATATGATTACCCGTAAAAATGTTTAAAAAATAAAATCTGTTGGTTTATTTATTAATATGGCTTCATAAGGTGGCATGAGTGTAAATTTCAAATCAGCTTAAAATTGAGTGAGAAAATAATGAAGGTGGATAAGTGTTCGAAGGTTGTCAAAAGTAGTGTAAGGTCAGTATTGCCATGGTTAAAGCACAATGAGGTAAAGAAACAATCTCTTGGTGTTAAAATTTTGATAGCTACTTCATTGAAAATGATAAAATCGCTTAAGGCAAAAATGATTACTATTTGCTATCAAAGTTCAATAAAAATGCATTTTTCCAAAATTCAGTTTTTGAACCGATCAAGTTTTACAAGTTTTTGCTAACAAAATCAAAATAATCTTGAGATGGATTAAGTTGTCAAAATAAAAACCCATCCCATCCATTATACATTTTATATACAGTTACAATTAGAGTTGGTTCAACAACATTAATAAATAAATTTTGTAAATCATAAATTAATTACATGAAAAGGTTTTGTCATTTTTGTGATGGGCTGAAGAGTTTTCACTGAGCTAAGCTCGGCCCCCAGCAGCACAGGTGTTACTGTGAGGTCAACCAGACCTGACTGCATTATACAACAACGTACATATGGCAGTGGTTTAGACCAGGCTGGTGTCAGCTCATCTACCAGTACGTCTACCAGTCAGTACCAGTGTCTATGGGATGAATCTATAGCCTACCTCGGACCTCCCCTACAACACTACACAGCAGTACACACTGAGGGGTCAAGGATTAGAGGTTAAAAATATGCGGAAAAATGCCATTACTTAATCCATTGAGAAACCCATCAATTAGGCCTAATATTCTTATTATTACATAAAGGGACGCAACTGGATGTATTTGAACCAAAATGTGAGTGAAGACTGAGTGTGGAGTGGGATGCCATGACAAGCTTTGTAACAACCAATTTGTCAAAGTTCATAGATGTTGATAAAATTTAATGGATTTGTCAAGAAATTCATTATTCAAGATAGTTTTTCATTAATTTGACATACAGTGAATATGTTTGAAATAACAAATAATAACACTGATATGTATATTAAAAAAGATTTAGATTGGAAACTACCGTAAATCCATTATTTGAGTCTGTTAAATATAAACTAAACAACACTTACATTACTCTATATGGACTTCTGCTATGTATGTGTTCTGTGTAGGCATATTAAAGTTAAATATCAAAGGGAGAAAATGCAGTAAAATTTTAAATTATAAACAAAATCTTTTTCATTTTATAGGCCTAACTAAAAAAATTTTATTGATTGAAGTTGCTTAGGTCAAATAATTATAAAGTGATTCTAAAAAAAATAATAATTGCCGATGAATAAAACAATGATAACCCTTCTAGGATAAGATAGAATGTTAAGCTACATATTATATAAATGCTATAACTTAGGTCTATACATTGGTACACTCAGTGTGACAAAATTTTTTTGGTGTAAGTACAAAGTAAATGAAGTGTGGTGATGCATATCAAATGTTCCAAGTCTAAAAATTAGCTTCCCAAAAAGATATTTTATGTTTTTCAAAAATAACCATGCTTTTAAATTTAATACAGCAATTACTCAATTACCTGTATATGGATTTGCGGAAATAATGTATTTTTCGTGTTCTACATTAAATTTATTTGAACAAGAATAATAGGAAATGACAGAGGATCAGTTGTAAAAACTCCATTGCAAATAGCTTCAAAGATAAAAATTAAGATGTTTGATAAACATTTTAAAAACAATGGTCTATTGCATTTTTCACACCCTGTATACAAGAAAGTGTCGGAATATGTTAAATATTGCTCCATTTTATAAGCTTTCCAACCATATGCTACACCATTGAGCTTTATGTCTGCTTATGTAGCTTTAGTGGTTTGAAGACTACAAAGCATGGTGTCTTTAACATTTAAAACATAGAAAGTCGGCATATAAGCAAAAGTTGTATTTTTGTTTCAGCTTGAACAGTAAAAACAGTAAAAAAGATCCTTGTTTTCTGGCATTCAAACCACTAAAACAAAAACAAAATATATCTAAACCTCAATAGTGTAGCATATGGTTGGAAAGCTTATAAAATAGCGCAGTTTTTAACATATTCCGACACTTTCTTGTATACAGGGTGTGAAAAATGCAATAGACCATTGTTTTTAAAATGTTTATCAAACATCTTAATTTTTATCTTTGAAGCTATTTACAATGGAGTTTTTACAACTGATCCTCCGTCATTTTCTATTATTCTTGTTCAAATAAATTTAATGTAGAACACGAAAATGACATTATCTACTCAAATCCATATACAGGTAATTGAGAAATCGCTGTATTAAGTTTAAAAGCATGGTTATTTTTGAAAAACATAAAATATTTTTTTGGGAAGCTAATTTTTAGACTTGGAACATTTGATATGCATCATCACACTTCATTTACTTTGTACTTACACCAAAAAATTTGTGTCACACTGAGTACCAATCACCCTGTACATCCAAGTGACAAGTCTAAGATAAAGTAACAATTCTTTTCGTGTCTATAAAATAAGCAAGCTACAAGAACAGCTTGATAAAAAAAAACTAGAATTTCATCCAGATTCAATTGATAAACATTAGAAACAAGAAAATTCAGTTAATACAAGTTGTACATATTATCCAGTAAAAACATTGTACTGTAATTGTGTACAATCTACAATAACATTTTTGCTATTGTAAAGTGTAATTTGGTGTGAGAAAATTAGCACCATACTTCAAAAGTAGTCGCACTTAGAACATTTCCCCTCCCTGTCTTCAATGATGCAACAAACTCAACAATGAATGGAAACACGTCAGCGGTTGCTAGGTTACAACAATGACCGAAACCAGCTGTGAGTCATAATGACGTCATTCTTGTCATGATCAGCTGATCGTTTATCAGTCCAATCTGAGCCGGAACCGAACGTATAGTTCTTCTGTTTTGTTTCTAGTTATCTCTACGTTGTCGACGATTGCACAATAATGAATGATGAGGGCTGAGTGTAATAGGTTTCACAATAAAAAATATTGGGCTTGGGGAACTTATGGATTTTCGTGGGCTGAGTAAAAGATAAATGTTAGCATATCTTTTATCGATAGCGACGAATCAGTTTGTTTACAGATAAAGATAAACAGTAGTTAACCTTGACAACTGATTGCTTTGATTGCTTCACGAGTAATTTCCTAATAGGAAATTATTCCTAGGATATAAAAAATAATGCACTTGAAGAATATAAATTAAAGTAAAGTAAAGTAGATAGTTTTTTCCAGAACTTATATTTTTGTATCTGTACACTGAGACCATAGCCATAGAGTATATTATTCAGTTTCTAAATGTAATCTCTAATGTTGACATGATGACGTCATAACCGATAATCTTAAAATAATATTAAAGTTTAATCAAATATTTGATGTCACGACAAAACAATTGTATGTTACTGTTCCCCTTTACTAAGTCTAGTACCAAAGTTTGATTTCATAATTGATATGGTAAAAGATTCCCTTGCTTCCAAAAATAAAACAAAAGATTGTTTTTGTGTTAATTTGTTGTTAGTGAAAATGAATTCATCACCGATATTTTACATTCTAACTAAATGTAGGGCTGTTAATAAAGTGTTTAGTAGAGGTACAATATTAGCAACAAATAATTGGTTTATAGAAACATCTTTTACACACATAATTTCAGGAAAAATACATATTCACCGTTCTCTATTTTGTGTTGCGTAAGTTAATTATGTAGCGTATATTTTCGAACAATAACTGAGCTAAGACACAAGCAAGAGTCAAGAGATATTAATGTAACCGCAGAAACAATAGTTTATTTCTGTTGAATGTTGTAAGGCCCCGGCCACACGAGGCGGTTTAACCGCGCGAAGTTAAGCCACGCGAAGTTAAGGGCTTCGACAACACATTGAATCAAATGAGAGTGGCCACACGAGGCGAAGTTTAGCCGCATGTGCGGTTGAGCCGCAACATGTCGTCCCCCGACCGCGCGAAGTTAAGCCGCGTTGGAGGGGATGACACACGTACGTAGTCTTATGAGAGTGGCCACACGATACGGTTCGACCGCGCGGCAGCCGCGCTTATTGGAGATATTCTTCGGACATTTCCAGTGGGTTTTGAGTTTGTTTTGTGTATTTTTTACCGGTTGTGTGGTGTTCAAACAATGTTTGATACATATGAACTCCGAACTATGGTTTCGCATGTGCTCGTAAAAGGTTTGGAACACAAAAAATTGTTTTTTCCGTTATGAAGGGATGGACCCAATGATTTATGTTAACGTTCCAAATCACCACACGCTTTTAATGCACAAACTAACATAAGTGTTTCGCATATGACTAAAAAGAGTGAACTGAACTATGTTTTAATAGAGTACTGATACTGGGAAAACCCAACAGGAAGCGGTTCATCCGCCCCGTGTGGCCAGGTACTTCGCGCGGCTTAACTTCGCGCGAAGATAAGCCGCGCGGCTTAAATTCGCCTCGTGTGGCCGGGGCCTAACAACAAGTAATTTTCAATGAAAACTGTTCGCAGATATAAGGAAAACCCCAAAGCTAAGTGTAAATACAAATCTTGCGGGGATTACTGACAAGATATGTGCTGTGTGATTGTTATGATTGTTTCCTGGGGCCTCATGCAAGAAGGCTAGAATTACCATTTACTAAGCTGATAACGAAGCCTTTCTAGAATTTAAAAGTATCAGTTTTCTCTCACCCTTTTAGACACGTACACCATTTGTACAACTTACAACTCCAGCCCAAAATTATTATGTTTGTTGTCTCTATAACGTATAGCATACCTAATTTATCTCCATTCATACTTTGCTTAAAATACCTCCCTTCGTATGGTCGCCATTTCACTTTTC